GTGGGGTATTCATGCTTCACTGCGGCATGGTATCTCAGTGGGCTAGCACTATAAAACCAGCTAGAACAAGCAGCCGTACATACACACGCATGCACGTCGTCATATGAGCGAAATATTCTCAAGCACGATGTTAAACCCAATTCCACTACCACCTGCACTTGCGCCACTCACACTGGGCCGACCCATCACTCACTGACTCCACACATACTGGGCCCAACCATCACTCACTGGCTCCACACATACTGGGCCCACCCATCACTCACTGGCTCTACACACTTGCTCCACACACACTGGGCCCACCCACCACTCACTGACTCCATCCACACACACTTTCTCCATCCACACTGGGCCCACCCACCACACACTGGCTCCACACACACTAGGCTGGCCATATCACTCACTGGCTCCACACACACTAGAACCACCCATCACTCACTGGCTCCACACATGCTGCTCCACATACACTGGGCCCACCCATCACCACTCACTGGCTCCACACACATTAGGCCCACCCATCACTCACTGGCTCCTCACACAGTAGGCCCACCCATCACTCACTGGCTCCACACATGCTTGCTCCATCCACACTAGAACCACCCACCACTCACTGGCTCCATCTACACACCCTTTCTCCATCCACACTAGAACCACCCACCACTCACTGGCTCCATCCACACACCCTTTCTCCATCCACACTGGCCCCACCCACCACTCACTGGCTCCATCCAGACACCCTTTCTCCATCCACACTGGCCCCATCCACCACTCACTGGCTCCATCCACACACCCTTTCTCCATCCACACTGGCCCCACCCACCACTAACGGGCTCCAACCACACCCCCTTTCTCCATCCACACTGGCCCCACCCACCACTCTCACTGGCTCCATCCACACACCCTTTCTCCCATCCACACTGGCCCCACCCACCACTCACTGGCTCCATCCATGGCCCCACCCACCACTTTGGCTCCATCCACACTGGCCCCACCCACCACTCACTGGCTCCATCCACACACCCTTTCTCCATCCACACTGGCCCCACCCACCACTCACTGGCTCCATCCACACACCCTTTCTCCCTCCACACTGGCCCCACCCACCACTCACTGGCTCCATCCACACACCCTTTCTCCATCCACACTGGCCCCACCCACCACTCACTGGCTCCATCCACACTGGCCCCACCCACCACTCACTGGCTCCATCCACACTGACCCCACCCACCACTCACTGGCTCCATCCACACTGGCCCCACCCAACACTCACTGGCTCCATCCACACTGGCCCCCACCCACCCCACCCAACACTCACTGGCTCCCTTCATAAACATTTTTGAACTTATTCTTACACTCATTGAGGAACATTATTGGGTAGTTTTACAGCAGTTGTCATGTGTTGATTTAGTTGATTAATCAGCTCAGATGCAAAGCTCAACAAAACATGAGGGTATCACAGAAGGTAGAGGCCAGTCCTACCAGGATTGATTGTGATTGATGGGTGCGTGATATGCATGTTTGAACATGTCTTTGTGTGCATGATTCACATGTTATCATTACATCAGTCAAGTAACACAAGATATGTATGCCATGGAACCGGTTAATGATCCTGATGCTGAATACTCTGCGTCAGAAGTAAGTCATCTCTGAAACAATTCATTTTCCCACATTTTAGGCATGGTAGATGGTGAAGCACCTAAATGTACATAAACCTTTTGTGAAAATGAGGGATACAATATCTAAAGTTTGTTTTGGGTTGTCTTCGTGATGGCACTAAAATCTTGAAGCTTAATGAGTCCTCGCACTGACGCTGTATCTTACTGGACAAGGTAGGATAAGGACTATTTCTTGGCTACAGGATCTGCAAGATACATGAAATGAGAAAATAAAATGACAATGACAGAAATCAGATGTGTTCATATACATGAAAATAAAACTTTTTGTCATTTCAACTATTGTGTGTTTGGGACTGAAAACAACATCATGTTTATAAGGTAAATCTGTGAAAAAGTCAGATTTTAGAGCTCTCTAGATATTTGATATTTAAACTTGAACAAATTTTTTACCCAAGATGATTTTCTTAAGGGAGGTAAATAATAACAGCACAGTTGTGTTGGAGTCATAGACTTGCTCATATGTTTCTTTCCTCTTGAAATTCCTTCCTTGATCACTTATTCATACCACACGTCTGTACTCCATTCTTTCAGAAGTAAACTTGTTCCTAGTGGAAGAGGGGCGATGGGGTAGCCTAGTGGTTAAAGTGTTGGCTCGTCACACCGAAGACCCGGGTTCGAATCCCCACATGGGTACAATGTGTGAAGCCCATTTCTGGTGTCCCCAGCCGTGATGTTACTGGAATATTGCTAAAAGCGGCGTTAAACCAAACTCAGTCAGTCAGTCAGTCAGTCTAGTGGAAGAAAGAATAACGTTGTTAGCTTTTGGAAAATGTCAGACAATTTCTTAGCAATATTTTTAATATTCTTTGAGGATTTAAGTCAGACACAACAGAGGAAATGTCCTTTCTTGAACACAGCTGATGGCCATTGATGCTTGCTCAACCATCTTTCCTGGCAGAGATGGAGCCTGTGTGTTCAACAGTTTGCTAATGTGGCAGTTGACCTTGGGGTTAGCACTACAACCAGTGATCGATCTGGCTGGAAAAAATGTGTTTAATCTCCTATAGTTTTCTCCAGTGTGACATGATGCATTGGATCTGTCTATTTTCCTATTTTGTCTGGAATACAAGAGATATATTTATGTTGTCAGTGGAATAGGTCAAACTTTGAATAATTGTTTTACTGGGAGTTCACCTGGCTCATATGTCATTCAGGTCCTACCTTTTCTTTGAATGTTCTCATGTATTTTGTCATGTTGTAAATCTATACATTTAGTGGGGAAAGTTAAGCTTATTAGTTCTGTTTGACCATTGAAGTCAGCATCATAGATGTAAAATATGGAAAAGTACATTGCCCAAAAGCTGCCAGAGGCCTGGCTGAATAAGTGATTGCTCATCACTTAACACTTTAATAACGTTTAGATGAACACCTTGTTTTAACAATGATTTTTAGTAATCCATGCAGATACATTTTGTCACCTTGCTCCCTGGGACCTCCTAGGGACCTCTTGGAGACGCCTATGCACTGTTAGCACTCTCTGATACATGTCATGATGGCCACCTGAAGAGCACTTGTTATGCATGTTTCAGGCATTGTTTGAATTATGAATCCATGCTACCTTTAATCTGTGTCATCTTCAGACTTGAAATTAATTCATCTAGTTCTTGACATGAACCTTCTAATCTTGAAGCTAAACCTGCTATCCTTCAAGTTTTGAGTAAAGCTTTGTTTTTGATTTCTGGAAGCCATGCTATATCTTCAACTTTATGCCTTAGGCTGTAGGTTATAGGCTCCCATGCTTTAAGTATCATCTGCTTCTGTCAGATCAAACACTGTGACACACATTCAGCTGGATGATAGCCCAATGATGGTTTAATAATTCACTCTTTCACATCTGATCTGTTATCACATCACTCCGCTAGAACTGGGATAGGGACAACAACTGTCATATGTTGAATCCTGATGAAAGCCTGGAAACACTAGCCTCTGTAAAGATATAAGATGATCTGCCTGGTGAAGTCTGACTTTGAGGTCTGATAATGTGCAAGGTATGTCACAAATACAGTTGATGTCCGTGATGAGGACTATTCTTGCCCGTGACATAGAGCCCTTGCCAATTACGACCACGTCACATTGATTGAGAGAGCATGCCACCAATACCAATTCCCACAAGACTGACTGTGCGGATGTCTTGATGGCAGGCGATTGCACAGGCACGCCAGGCTGTTTGACTGTCATTTGTAATCTCATCACATTTACTGATTGTGCTATAGCTTGTTATGGTAGGCAATGCTGTTAGCATTTTGTACTGTGGCAATCCTCAGTGCAGTGATATTCATCTTTATATATGGGTCTGCACCTCTTAAGTCTGGCTGATCCCATGTCTGCCACGCTCCTGCTGTGTTTGGTATAGCGCAGTGTTGATGATGTTGTGTAATGCTTGTGATAATGGCAGGGGTAGGTTAACTTTCAAGGGACAACATTTTCCGTATCAATCCCTGTCAAATTGTCTCTGCCCTTTCAGGAGTATCATGAGTATTTGGGATTCTATCTCAGGCTTTTATCGAGATGGTGATTTTCTTGATCTGTTGCCAGGCCAGTGATGTTTTCTAGCACTGATGTGTTTTTGACTTCGTCAGTCTCTTTGTGGTCTTCCATCATAGGGGAGGAACCATCCCATTTGGTGAAATGGTATTGTTATTTTGGTGGGATGAAAACATGTTCATGTTGACTGCTCATGAGGAGAGTTGTGATAACAATTCCTGAGTGTATTAGAAAAGAGAGGTGACCATTAACAAATAGCCTTTGTAACAATGCCAACCAAGAGGGCCTACAGTACTGCTGTTTTACCTTCAGCTCTTATGTGTCTACATGTATTGATGTCAGGTAGTGGTAGCAGGAACTCATCTACTCAGACTGCCTGTAGCCATCATGTCAACAGTAGCACACATAGACAGACTACACATATCTCTCTAGCGTCCACCGCCTCCGTGGTGTAGTGGTTAGAGCATCCGCCCAGAGAGCGGAAGGTCACGGGTTCGATCCCCGACCGCGTCATACCAAAAGACGTTAAAATATGGTACTTGTTGGTCCCTGCCTGGCGCTCGGCATTAATGGGTACAACAAGGACTGGTCGGCTCGGAGTCAGTATAATGTGTCTGAGTGGGATATTCATGCTTCACTGCGGCATGGTATCTCAGTGAGCTAGCACTATAAAACCAGCTTAAGTCTGGGCTAGAACAAGCAGCCACACATACACATACACATGCATGCACGTCGTCATATGAGCGAAATATTCTTAAGCACGACGTTAAACCCAATTTTGTGTAATGTGTCAGTGCTACGAATCTAAAACCTAGTTAATCTAATTTTTGGTTTGTTTTTCAGAAATAGAAAGAAGCATAAAAGCCAATGATACAGAATTCAACGCTCAATTTGAATATGCAGTAAGTACTGGATTGAAATTTGATTCTCGTTTGATGTTTTATGCCATTTTAATGTTCCATTAAAAATGTTAAATAATAAATTTCATTATGTTTTAGTCTTTCATTATCCATTCTCATCTGAAATAGAGCCTCCTTTTGAGGTAGAATGTGTCGCCAGTTCCCCATTTACTGTGGAAAGAGGCAGATATACTGGAACCAAGCAGGGAATGTGGGTTATAACTCACGCTCAGTGACTTATGCAGGTCTTAAAAGGCGGTAACTTGTAATGGACCGAGTGACATTGGTGACTTGATTACTTCATTGCTTATGGCATCAATCCTTAGTCTAGACTGGGTTATTTGCAGCCTGCCTTCATTCAACTTGAGTTTTGCCCAGAAAACATTCATGGTTGACTACTTGGCAACTCTTTTACATAATCTCTTCAGAAATTCTGACATACTTTTAGAACCAGAGATGCTGATGTATTCCAAATGGCCAGTTTTTCCGTTCAGGTATGAAGACGACTCTGTGTTTCAATGAATAAAGTGAAAATGGGGATCTGTGTAATAATGCTAAATGTATTAAAAATGACTTTGTGTCAATAACTTTTTGACCTGTATGAGTTTATACCTGTGTAGGGTCAGAGTATCCATGCAAAAATCTAATATACTGCTGTATGAGTTTATACCTGTGTAGGGTCAGAGTATCCTCCGTACTGCTGTATGAGTTTATACCTGTGTAGGGTTTATACCTGTGTAGCAGAGTATCCTCCTGTACTGCTGTATGAGTTTATACCTGTGTAGGGGCAGAGTATCCAGAGTACTGCTGTATGAGTTTATACCTGTGTAGGGTCAGAGTATCCTCCGTACTGCTGTATGGAGTTATACCTGTGTTTATACCTGCTGTATGAGTTTATACCTGTGTCAGCAGAGTATCCTCCGTGTAGGGGTAGAGTATCCTCCTGTGTGGGGCACCTCTGTATGACTGCTGTATGAGTTTATACCTGTGTAGGGGCAGAGTATCCTCCGTACTGCTGTATGAGTTTATACCTGTGTAGGGGCAGAGTATCCTCCGTACTGCTGTATGAGTTTATACCTGTGTAGGGGCAGAGTATCCTCCGTACTGCTGTATGAGTTTATACCTGTGTAGGGGCAGAGTATCCTCCGTACTGCTGTATGAGTTTATACCTGTGTAGGGGCAGAGTATCCTCCGTACTGCTGTATGAGTTTATACCTGTGTAGGGTATCCTCTGTACTGCAGAGTATCCTCCCAGAGTACTGCTGTATGAGTTTATACCTGTGTAGGGGCAGAGTATCCTCCGCATTACTGCTGTATGAGTTTATACCTGTGTAGGGGCAGAGTATCCTCCGCTGTACTGCTGTATGAGTTTATACCTGTGTAGGGTCAGAGTATCCTCCGTACTGCTGTATGAGTTTATACCTGTGTAGGGGCAGAGTATCCTCCCTGTACTGCTGTATGAGTTTATACCTGTGTAGGGGCCTCCGTAGCTGTATCCTCAGAGTATCCTCCATTACTGCTGTATGAGTTTATACCTGTGTAGGGGCAGAGTATCCTCCGTACTGCTGTATGAGTTTATACCTGTGTAGGGGCAGAGTATCCTCCGTACTGCTGTATGAGTTTATACCTGTGTAGGGTCAGAGTATCCTCCGTACTGCTGTATGAGTTTATACCTGTGTAGGGGCAGAGTATCCTCCATCTGAGTTTACTGCTGTATGAGTTTATACCTGTGTAGGGTCAGAGTATCCTCCGTACTGCTGTATGAGTTTATACCTGTGTAGGGGCAGAGTATCCTCCGTACTGCTGTATGAGTTTATACCTGTGTAGGGGCAGAGTATCCTCCGTACTGCTGTATGAGTTTATACCTGTGTAGGGGCAGAGTATCCTCCGTACTGCTGTATGAGTTTATACCTGTGTAGGGTCAGAGTATCCTCCGTACTGCTGTATGAGTTTATACCTGTGTAGGGGCAGAGTATCCTCCCATGTACCGCTGCTGTATGAGTTTATACCTGTGTAGGGTCCCTCCTGTACTGCTGTATGAGTAGGTAGGGGCAGAGTATCAGAGTTTATACCTGTGTAGGGTCAGAGTACTGCTGTGTATGAGTTTATACCTGTGTAGGGGCAGAGTATCCTCCGTACTGCTGTATGAGTTTATACCTGTGTAGGGGCAGAGTATCCTCCATTACTGCTGTATGAGTTTATACCTGTGTAGGGGCAGAGTATCCTCCGTACTGCTGTATGAGTTTATACCTGTGTAGGGTCAGAGTATCCTCCAGTACTGCTGTATGAGTTTATACCTGTGTAGGGGCAGAGTATCCTCCGCATCGCTGCTGCTGTATGAGTTTATACCTGTGTAGGGGCAGAGTATCCTCCGTACTGCTGTATGAGTTTATACCTGTGTAGGGTCAGAGTATCCTCCGTACTGCTGTATGAGTTTATACCTGTGTAGGGCAGAGTATTTACTGCTGTATGAGTTTATACCTGTAGGTAGGGTCAGAGTATCCTCTGTACTGCTGTATGAGTTTATACCTGTGTAGGGGCAGAGTATCCTCTGTACTGCTGTATGAGTTTATACCTGTGTAGGGGCAGAGTATCCTCCGTACTGCTGTATGAGTTTATACCTGTGTAGGGGCAGAGTATCCTCCGTACTGCTGTATGAGTTTATACCTGTGTAGGGGCAGAGTATCCTCCGTACTGCTGTATGAGTTTATACCTGTGTAGGGGCAGAGTATCCTCCATTACTGCTGTATGAGTTTATACCTGTGTAGGGGCAGAGTATCCTCCGTACTGCTGTATGAGTTTATACCTGTGTAGGGGCAGAGTATCCTCCGTACTGCTGTATGAGTTTATACCTGTGTAGGGGCAGAGTATCCTCCGTACTGCTGTATGAGTTTATACCTGTGTAGGGGCAGAGTATCCTCCGTACTGCTGTATGAGTTTATACCTGTGTAGGGGCAGAGTATCCTCCGTACTGCTGTATGAGTTTATACCTGTGTAGGGGCAGAGTATCCTCCGTACTGCTGTATGAGTTTATACCTGTGTAGGGCAGAGTATCCTCCAGCTGCTGTATGAGTTTATACCTCAGAGTTTCTCTGATCAGGGTCATACACACACACTAACTCTAGTATGGCTCCTCCTCAGGTTTCTCTGATCAGGGTTTGTCTAACAACATCCAAGGCGTCATTAGCCCTTTCAAATCCTGTGTCTTTTCAGGTGATCAGTGTGCTTGCTTGTTACTTACTTGTTTGTGAACACCCAGTATCATCACTATTTGACGATAATGAGATTGCACATGATTATGGAAAGGGCTGGTGGCGTTAATTTACTTAAATTATATGTGTGAAGTAAAACATCCTGGAGTAACTCTGTTAGTGATGATTCATGTGACAGAGCAACATACTGGCCAAGAGCAAGAGACTGGAAAACAAGTTTATGAGAAAGGTTGTTTATCAATTCACATTCCTGTGAGCAGTGAGTTAGATTAGTTACAAAACACAGAACACCTGAGCCTACTGGTTTGATGCATCACGACTGTCACACCGGCAACAGCAGCTCTGGGTACAACAACCGTCATGTTCGCGCTGAATTAACACTTTTTTATATAAAAGCTAAAGTTGCTGATGCAGCTGAACACATCTTGGATAAGTTCATAGATATTTTGTATGCATTTGTATTTGCACTTGCAAGTTGTGTTTATTCAGCACCGTGACTCTACTGTGTATGATCGAAATATATAGATATACTGAAGTACTACAAACATTTTCTGACACTATTGGGGTTGAGTTGAAGTGAATTATAATAGTAAGATATGTTGTTTTTGACATTACATGTTGTCAAAGAGGTCTTTTTCCCCGAAAAAACGTGTGTCAGTTAAGCATATTGTTTCGCATCTGACATCTGATAGAAAAAGGCAACAGGCACAACATGTCTTATGACATCTAGCTCTGTTTGAAACTGACCTAGAAAGGTTCTTGCAATAATATGTGACTATGGATGGATGAAAGCAAGGTTCACCACATCCAGCCTGAGTTGAAACAACAGCTGTGGAATATGGAAAACACCACCACCAAAAAGGCACAGACTGTCCAATCAACTGTTCTGTCTGCCAAAGGTGTCTTCCTGATTGAGTGTCTTCCAGAATCCAGACAATAAGCGAGGCTGCTCAGGCATTTTACACTGTACTTTGAAAGGCAATTACAAAATCGTGTTTGAGATCAGAGTGTAATAACAGATTCAGTTTCTTGTTTTTGAGATCAGAGCGTAATAACAGGTTCAGTTTCTTGTTTTTGAGATCAGAGTGTAGTAACAGGTTCAGTTTATCTTGTTGGAGATCAGAGGGTAATAACAGGTTCAGTTTACCTTTTTAGAGATCAGAGGGTAATAACAGGTTCAGTTCAGTTTCAGAGCGTAATAACAGATTCAGTTTCTTGTTTTTGAGATCAGAGTGTAATAACAGGTTTAGTTTATCATGTTGGAGATCAGAGGGTAAAAACAGGTTCAGTTTATCGTGTTTGAGATCAGAGGGTAATGTCATGTCCACTGTCTTGTGTATGTAATTAGAGTGTAACACATTGTAACAACGCCTAAGGTATTTTGTGTTTGAGATGAGATGCTAGGTGTACAGCTGTATATGTTAATATTTGACTTTTCTATCCAGAACAACTACATTTCCACGTCCAAGTACAATGTGCTTACGTTCCTGCCCAAGAACCTGTTTGAGCAGTTCCAGCGGCTGGCCAACGCCTACTTCCTGGGTCTGCTTATCATGCAGGTAAGACACTGTTACCAGTTGTCACATGTGGCCACTTGACCAGTCACACCTCGTCAGTGTGGATGCCACAATGAGCAGATGAGTTGATTCTGATGGGCATTACATTTGGAAGCTGTTTTTAGCTGGACAACTTGTAATGTGGGATACGTTTGTAAAACCTGTCTAATGTTGCTCAAGATAGTGTCCCAGGAAACCTATGGCTATATTCTGGATTCTGGTTTCTGGTTCCCATCGTCCCCATGGATTATGTAAACTCCGCTGTCTTATAGCTGGAACATTGCTGAGTGCGATGTTAAACAGAACACAAAACATGACCAAAAAGCACAATGTTATGAAAGTTGAAGGTCATTCTATTAATATTATGTCTTGAAATTTCTTATGTATACTTTGTGAATATGCTTATCATGAAATTATGCTTTGATATATTGTTTGAAAGATAGTTGCGTATAAATTCATATATATTTCATTTCATGATGTGAAATTTATAATTATATATTATGTATGACAAAGTAACGTTATTGACGAGGCAAGGTCTTTTTCAGCTCTTAGCGTTTTGCCACCTGCAGCTAATTCTAAATATTTTTATTGTCCCTAGGACTTTTAAGAAGATATGTTTTGCTGTATATTGAAATATAGGATATGTGTCTAATGTATGAGGTTCCTTTGTTTCCAGTTCATTGAAGAGTGTTTAATTAGTTAAGTTGATTTTCCTGGTTGATGTCAGATGTGACAGCCACTGCACATGCATCACTGTCTGCCATGTGACCTTGTTGCTGGGAAACATCTGTGATGTTGATCGATGTGTGATGTTGACCGATGTGTGATGAGGATGTGTGGGATACAGAGATACATGTGTTTTATCATTGATACACAGTAGGTCAATAACTTCCTGTTGGGAAAGGTTTTTCACTTATCCAAAATGTACAAGAAATTGCTCATGTTGCTTTAGGCATGTCCTGATGAACTTATAGTTTCCTTATTCCTCTAGTGTAGATTCCAGGTGAAAATAGGTCCTAACTACCGATTCCTCTAAATCTACAGAGATTGCTCTTTGGCAAAGCTACACAAACCACTTGATCCATTTTTGCGGTGCCTGTCATTGCAAATTTCCCTTTTGATTTATATTAACATTATACTGCCGAATCACCTGTTGACATGAGGGAAAGGTTGATAAAAGTAGCTCGTATTACCTAGTCACCAACACCAACACCTGTTTAATGGATATGAAGACATTGTTTCTGTCCAGTAGATCTTTGAAGGTTATCGTTTGAAGACAATCAGTTCTTCAATGCTGAGTTTCTCTCAAACTCTGTAATAATCAACGGGCCTCCTTGATGTTGATATTGCCATCCCAACATTGAGGCTGTGTTATTACCAGTGTATGAAGTAAAGCCTGTCCGACCACCCGAGACAGGCTAGATTTCTGACAAACGGATTGTCTGGTCTGGTTAAATTCATTTTGGGCTGGTAACATTTTGAAGTTACCAGCCCTGATGTCTGGCTGGGTTTTTAGCTTATTTCATACACTGTTGTAACCCACATTATGATGGGTAGTAGGAAGTAGTGTAACCAGTCAAATCAGCAGACAGAAATCAAAGGTGGGTAATTTGTGGTAGTGAGAACCGCAGGAATAGATCCAGGGGTTGGTGTAGGTTTACAGAAGCCCCGGAGGTAGAGGGGATACCAGCACCCCTTGTTGTGGTAGTGAGAACCGCAGGAATAGATCCAGGGGTTGGTGTAGGTTTACAGAAGCCCCGGAGGTAGAGGGGATACCAGCACCCCTTGTTGTGGTAGTGAGAACCGCAGGAATAGATCCAGGGGTTGGTGTAGGTTTACAGAAGCCCCAGAGGTAGAGGGGATACCAGCACCCCTTGTTGTGGTAGTGAGAACCGCAGGAATAGATCCAGGGGTTGGTGTAGGTTTACAGAAGCCCCGAGAGGTAGAGGGGATACCAGCACCCCTTGTTGTGGTAGTGAGAACCGCAGGAATAGATCCAGGGGTTGGTGTAGGTTTACAGAAGCCCCAGAGGTGGAGGAGATACCAGCACCCCTTGTTGTGGTAGTGAGAACCAGGAATAGATCCAGGGGTTGGTGTAGGTTTACAGAAGCCCCGGAGGTAGAGGGGATACCAGCACCCCTTGTTGTGGTAGTGAGAACCGCAGGAATAGATCCAGGGGTTGGTGTAGGTTTACAGAAGCCCCAGGAGGTAGAGGGGATACCAGCACCCCTTGTTGTGGTAGTGAGAACCGCAGGAATAGATCCAGGGGTTGGTGTAGGTTTACAGAAGCCCCAGAGGTAGAGGGGATACCAGCACCCCTTGTTGTGGTAGTGAGAACCGAGGAATAGATCCAGGGGTTGGTGTAGGTTTACAGAAGCCCCAGAGGTAGAGGGGATACCAGCACCCCTTGTTGTGGTAGTGAGAACACCCAACAGGTAGAGGGATACCAGCACCCCTTGTTGTGGTTAGATCCAGGGGTTGGTGTAGGTTTACAGAAGCCCCCAGAGGTAGAGGATACCAGCACCCCTTGTTGTGGTAGTGAGAACCGCGAGGAATAGATCCAGGGGTTGGTGTAGGTTTACAGAAGCCCCAGAGAGGTAGAGGGATACCAGCACCCCTTGTTGTGGTAGTGAGAACACAGGGAATAGATCCAGGGGTTGGTGTAGGTTTACAGAAGCCCCGGAGGTAGAGGGATACCAGCACCCTTGTTGTGGTAGTGAGAACCGCAGGAATAGATCCAGGGGTTGGTGTAGGTTTACAGAAGCCCCAGAGGTAGAGGGGATACCAGCACCCCTTGTTGTGATAGTGAGAACCTTGGGAATAGATCCAGGGGTGGTGTAGGTTTACAGAAGCCCGAGGTAGAGGGGATACCAGCACCCCTTGTTGTGGTAGTGAGAACCGCAGGAATAGATCCAGGGGTTGGTGTAGGTTTACAGAAGCCCCGAGGTAGAGGTGGTATACCAGCACCCCTTGTTGTGATAGTGAGAACCGCAGGAATAGATCCAGGGGTTGGTGTAGGTTTACAGAAGCCCCGGAGGTAGAGGGGATACCAGCACCCCTTGTTGTGGTAGTGAGAACCGCAGGAATAGATCCAGGGGTTGGTGTAGGTTTACAGAAGCCCCGGAGGTAGAGGGGATACCAGCACCCCTTGTTGTGGTATAGCCTACTGGGCATTCACTCAGTCGCGACTGTTTGAGGCAGATAGTGAATGTGATTTGTTGTATCATCGTACACCTTTGTATCACTGTATCCATGCATGTAGCAGAAAGCCAGAGCACGTTAGCTGTGCATGTCAATGAGGCAGTTTGACTGGTATCACGCTAGGCTGTGTGGAAATATTCGTTTGTCGTACACATAAACAGAAATGGCATTTCACAACTTTCCTTTCATGTCAGTCACCAGCATTGTTGTATCTGCACACTATAGCCGGCGACATGAAAGTTACCTCAGCTGAAAATCAATTATCTTGAAATCAAAGGTTGGCTTTGTCATGTTTTATCAACAAATGCTGTTACTGATTTTTTTTTCACAGCCATAATATTTCTGTTTTGTATGTCACACAGCTCTTTACTTGTTGTTTCGTTAATCTGTGATCTGATTGTAAAGCATCTTGTCCAGACCAACATTACATTGCCTTATTTAGGAAATGCAGGGCTACAGATAAGGGGCGTACACATGTAATGTACGCCTAAAAATCAATGAAGTATGACATAATATGAGATTTCAAGCGTATCATAAATACCTTTGTACGTCTAACCTATATAGAGTTAAGTAGCTGAAAAGTTGTTGTGAGTCAGTATGGCTTAACGCCGCTTTTAGCAATATTCCAGCAATATCACGGCGGGGAACACCAGAAATAGGCTTCACACACTGTACCCATGTGGGACTTGCAATAAGAGGAGTAAGTACACCCACAACCCCAAAAGTTAGCTGGAGCCCAAGAAAAGTATTTATGAAAGAAGGACCTAACAACTGTAGATGTACCTGCAGCCTGCCTATTTAGAGTCGGTGTTGAAATCCCTCTATGAGAGGCTGCTGTTGTTATTTGCAAATACAAACATCAAGTGAAACATCCATTGCTGAGATGCACATGCTGATGATAGTATGTCACCGTTGGGCATGTTCTTGTAGCATAACTGTACTGTCTGTTGTCAGTAACTAAACAAATTCCTAACACGTCCCTGTCTTGTCTCTGGCTAAGGAATGAATGGGGAGCCATGTTTGTGTGTTACTGGATATCGAGATCAGCGGGTGATATTCAGTACCTCTATGTTTATTCTGTGACCTGCCACAGTGGAGTGATGGTTCTGATCTAGATATTCCCATTATCAACCACTAGTTTGCCTGGTCCAAACATGAACATCATCAAACAATGGTGTGTCTGGTCCAGACATTCATACTATCAACCACTGGTTTGCCTGGTCCAAACATGAACATCATCAAACAATGGTGTGTCTGGTCCAGACATTCATACTATCAACCACTGGTTTGCCTGGTCCAAACATGAACATCATCAAACAATGGTGTGTCTGGTCCAGACATTCATACTATCAACCACTGGTTTGCCTGGTCCAAACATGAACATCATCAAACAATGGTGTGTCTGGTCCAGACATTCATACTATCAACCACTGGTTTGGCTAGATAGAGCCAGTCAACCATTTACACGTTACAGTGATGCACTGGTGGTGTATTACTAAAACTACAGCATCTTGTGCATGTTATTAGCAGCTTCCTACATTCCTCCAGCCTGTTCAATCAATATGCATGCTGGAAGCAGGTGACTAATGTGTTGTTTCTGTAGGTCTGTGTGTTCTGTATGTTGGAACCAGCATGTGCCAATGTTTACCATGTTGCCTTTGATAGGTCATTCCAGCTATTACATCACTTAGTCCTGTGACCACTATCATTCCATTGGTGTTCGTGCTCACAGTATCAGCCATCAAGGATGCAATCGATGATTTCGTAAGTGACACGTGGTTTGGCGGGACGTTGCCAGCTTCCCTGCACAGCTTATGCCTCTGTGTTGCACTTGCGAGCCCTCTGCAATATTATAACATTTGCTTCGTGCTTTGCTTGCATCTGTCATATACCCTCTGCACATTCAGCTATTTTGATGGATTCATTTTGCCAATCACAAGAAACTGGAGTCTGTTTATGCTGTTTACAATGTATTCATTTAATCTTCTATTTTTAGGTTATGGCTAGACGTTACACTACCTCATATGTCCGGTGCTATACATTGTGTCCTGGAATGTGATACTGTGGGGGATTTCTTTTTGGATTACACCATTTTGTTTACATGATGACAGCTCAAGATTTGTTGTGCTGTGTCATGAGCAGGAGCATGTGGGAGTTATAGTTCCGTTTTGTTTCTTTGTGTTTACGTCCCTAAAAAGCAAATCATGTCTCAGTTCCCATTTTGTATAGGGACAATCAGTATGGTTCTAAACGTGAAATGTCTTATAAAAGACTTCAGTAAACCTGCACTGTGCACTTTGAAACATATACCTTTGTAATATCTACCATTTGCCATTCTTTAGAACAGTGCTTTTGTAAAAATTGATTTGCATTCATCATCAGAAGTCTTGTTTTTCTGTGTGCATAAAAAATATATATAGACCAAAGTTCACCTTTGTGCTAAATATGAATTTAGAGTTGTGAAACCTTTCCTCACGTACAGTGCATGCAAGGTTATCACATTATATTTAATAGATTAAGTAGATCCCGTTTACTTGCACCTCAGGCACACAGCTGGTCCCGTGTTAAAGATTGGAACTTGAGTGAGACATGAATTGATCTTTTGTTGGGATAGCCAATTAATTCTTCACTCCTTCTCTTTCAGCTGAGTTTATACATTAGCAATGATGAGGCTAATCCACCATGCATCATTGTTGCATATAGCTACTATTGTGACTAATCCTCGGAAATACTGACATTCAATCTAACGCAAAGTTCGACTCCATCGCCTTCAGTCTTCTAGTAACATAATATTGTTTCTTCTCCATGATTTTAGTTCATCAACACTCTGGCTTTGAATTACTATGTATGTTATCAACAGTCACACCCACATCATAACATTAACCCCACCTGCAGGCTCCAGTGTTAGTCTCACCAGGGACAACATGGCCCCACCTTAATTACAGGAGAAAACAGAATCTTTGAAAGTGTGAAATCCACAAAGCCCAATGCCCAAATATGAAAGCCCAACTGGCTTACATGCTTATAATAAAGCAACCACCGCTTCCATAGTTTTGTGACTGGTGTGCTTGCAAACATAATGGGATTTGTTGACATGGAATTTCCAGCGTTCCATGCCGATAGTTATGTTATGATAGTTTGCATTGTGAAAAATTCCCCTCAATACTTATTATATTATATCTTGAAACATATGTGGACCTACTCAGGTCATACAGTGACACCATGCTTTCATAAGTAGTCAGATATCAAAGGTTATGTGTGAAGAAAAGATGCTATGTTTTGAGAAAACGTATCCCTTGAACTACAGTGTGGTGATTGTGGAAGCGAGACAGTCCCACTGATATGACACAACCAAATGACAGCAAGTAAGGTCTATTTGATCAGTTGGCTGTTCTGTCAAAGGACCATCAACAAAATCGATTGAGTAAGTAGGAAATAGATTGTGTATGTTGCATGGTGACAGTGAGAAGGCTGATAGGAGGAAAACATTGTCTGGCTAGAGAATCTTTCATAACTGTCAGGACAGGGAGAATGTCACAATGATGGCTACCCTTAGCAACTTCATGTTTTGTTGATTCAAGGGATCTGGGAATCTGTTTTGCAAGGAGAGAGAGATGTTGCTGAAAGAACAGCATAACGTATAAGTGCAGGGATTGAATTAGGGCTTACCAAAACATGGGTATCAAGATAAACATGCTTTAAAGAACTGACTGAAACTGATTGACATGTTTATGAAGAAACAAAAGAGTTATGATAAGAAGCAGGTTACAAGATTTCATTGGAAAAGCAGTAATTTGTACATTCCCAAGTTTTGTTTTTGCGTCTTTCTTTGTGAAATAGCTCTGCATCCCCAAAGTCTTCTGAAATCAGATGACAGTTGCTTTATGCTTGTCTGTGTGCATCTCTCTTCTCCATGTTCAAAGTCTTTCATCGTGCCAGAGAAGTTTATTTGCGACTGCAGAGTTTGGCTTCCCTTTGTTGGTGACAGGCAGTTGCTATACAGTGTGGGATGTGTATGTCTCTAGGTGATGCCCGTGGTCTCATCCCTCACTCCCCTCACTACGGTCATACCGCTCGTCGTTGTGCTTATAGTCACTGCCATCAAGGACGCTGTCGATGACTTTGTAAGTGCCCGATGTCGTCTGTAGTTGGAGTGAGGATGTCTCTTACATTACTCTACTCACTGTAGAGTAATTAAATTCATTTGGGATTCTTGGAATAGTTTTCTTGTAATGTTTGATTATTTAATTAGGTTCATGTTCTATATTCATTCCATTAAATATATGGAGTAATTTTTAGATGTCCTGGTAGTCAATTTTTGTATATCATCTAATGGTAACTCATGTTTCATGGTAAACAGATATATATATAGTATTTCCTGATGTTAATTCTCCAAATGGCAATCCAAGTTCATTCATATTGTCAGTGGATACGAGATGACAGAATCTACCTTATGTTTTGGAAAAGTTAACTGGAACTTGAATCCATTGCACAAGCTTCATATTCACTCATACATTCCCCGACCAAAATAGGGCCTGGTATACCGGTAAGCTTTTCAATCCATCCAGCACAGCCTTGTACTCAAGAATGTTCTGGCAGAGTTGTGTCCCAAAGGCTGACACATGGAGTACTCCCGTACTGATTCCAGCTTCTCATGCCCTGTTTCCTGATCTGAAGCTTCCAACCCTGCAGAAACAACATCCACTGCCTTGACCTTGCAATAACCAATATAAGCCTGCTATATATACTGCAGTGCTTAGCACTGCGATGCTAGAACAGCTGATGACTGCTGGGTCTGCTTAATGAACAGATAATATTCATGCTTACCAAACATCATGCTAACTTGTGTAACAACACTTACAACAGTAGCGGTCTTCACTCAGCATTAATGCACCTGACCTTTCCATTTGAATATGTAGTTTTTGACATTTGCTGATCTTGCTTTCATGGAATTCAGATGTAATGTCAAGCAGTTGAAGATGTATTTGCTAGAAACATAAATGTCAGAAGTCATAGTTACTGTCAGAGTTCTCTTAAAGTGGAATTTGATAAGTTACTTGTTTAAATTGAAAATATGATTTGAGATCCTATTTCATTAAAACATTATCATGATTCTGACAATAATAAACATGTATCATGATCATTGTGAGAAAAGTAAACATTTATGTTAGGTATTATATATTTACAGAGTAGGTTGTTCAGAGTGAATCTGGAGGCAGCTAGGTAGGATTGTGGGCTATAGGGTTTTATATGGATAAGTTCAACCCAGACTTAGTGAATGTCTGTACTGATATATATGGATAAGTGGGACTTAGTGAATGTCTGTACTGTTATGCATGGATAAGTGGGTCTTAGTGAATGTCTGTACTGACATACATGGATAAGTGGGACTTTGTGGAGGTCTGTACTGTTAAACATGGATAAGTGGGATCTAGTTGAGGTCTGTACTGTTATACATGGATAAGTGGGACTTAGTGGAGGTCTGTACTGTTATACATGGATAAGTAGGACTTAGTTGAGGTCTGTCCTGAGATATATGGATAAGTGGGACTTAGTGGAGGTCTGTACTGAGATATATCGATAAGTGGGACTTAGTGGAGGTCTGTACTGAGATATATCGATAAGTGGGACTTAGTTGAGGTCTGTACTGTTATACATGGATAAGTAGGACTTAGTTGAGATCTGTCCTGAGATATATGGATAAGTGGGACTTAGTGAATGTCTGTACCGAGATATATGGATTAGTGGGACTTAGTGGAGGTCTGTACTGTTATACATGGATGAGTGGGACATAGTGGAGGTCTGTACTGTTATGCATGGATAAGTGGGACTTAGTGAATGTCTGTACTGGGATATATGGACTAGTGGGACTTAGTGGAGGACTGTACTGTTATGCATGGATAAGTGGGACTTAGTGAATGTCTGTACTGTTATACATGGATAAGTGAGACTTAGGGGAGGTCTGTACTGCTATACATAGATAAGTGGGACTTAGTGGAGGTCTGTACTGAGATATATCGATAAGTGGGACTTAGTTGAGGTCTGTACTGTTATACATGGATAAGTAGGACTTAGTTGAGATCTGTCCTGAGATATATGGATAAGTGGGACTTAGTGAATGTCTGTACCGAGATATATGGATTAGTGGGACTTAGTGGAGGTCTGTACTGTTATACATGGATGAGTGGGACATAGTGGAGGTCTGTACTGTTATGCATGGATAAGCGGGACTTAGTGAATGTCTGTACTGAGATATATACTGATAAGTGGGACTTAGGGGAGGTCTGTACTGTTAAACATGGATAAGTGGGACTTAGTGGAGGTCTGTCCTGAGATATATGGATAAGTGGGACTTAGGGGAGGTCTGTACTGTTATACATAAATAAGTGGAGGTCTGTCCTGAGATATATGGATAAGTGAGACTTAGTGGAGGTCTGTACTGTTATACATGGATAAGTGAGACTTAGTGAATGTCTGTACTGTTTAACATGGATAATCGGGACTTCGTTGAGGTCTGTACTGTTATGCATGGAAAAGTGGGACTTAAAAGAGGTCTTTACTGTTAAACATGGATAAGTGGGTCTTAGTGGAGGTCTGTCCTGAGGTATATGGATAAGTGGGACTTAGGGGAAGTCTGTACTGTTATACATAGATAAGTGTGACTAAGTGGAGGTCTGTACTGTTATACATGGATAAGTGGGACTTAGTGGAGGTCTGTACTGTTATGCATGGATAAGTGGGACTTAGTGAATGTCTGTACTGAGATATATGGATAAGTGGGACTTAGTGGAGGTCTGTACTGTTATACATGGATAAGTGAGACTTAGTGGAGGTCTGTGCTGTTAAACATGGATAAGTGGGATGTAGTGGAGGTCTGTACTGTTATACATGGATAAATGGGACTTAGTGGAGGTCTGTACTGTTAAACATGGATAAGTGGGACTTAGTGGAGGTTTGTACTGTTATACATGGATAAGTGAGTCTTAGGGGAGGTCTGTACTGTTATACATAGATAAGTGGGACTTAGTGAAGGTCTGTACTGTTATGCATGGATAAGTGGGATTTAGTGAATGTCTGTACTGAGATATATGGATAAGTGGGACTTAGTGGAGGTCTGTACTGTTAAACATGGATAAGTGGGACTTAGTGAATGTCTACTGATATATATGGATAAGTGGGACTTAGTGGAGGTCTGTACTGTTAAACATGGATAAGTGGGACTTAGTGAATGTCTACTGATATATATGGATAAGTGGGACTTAGTGGAGGTCTCTACTGTTAAACATGGATAAGTGGGACTTAGTGGAGGTCTGTACTGTTATGCATGGATAAGTGGGACTTAGTGAATGTCTGTACTGAGATATATGGATAAGTGGGACTTAGTGGAGGTCTGTACCGTTAAACATGGATAAGTGGGACTTAGTGAATGTCTACTGATATATATGGATAAGTGGGACTTAGTGGAGGTCTGTACTGTTAAACATGGATAAGTGGGACTTAGTGAATGTCTACTGATATATATGGATAAGTGGGACTTAGTGGAGGTCTCTACTGTTAAACATGGATAAGTGGGACTTAGTGAATGTCTGTACTGAGATATATGGATAAGTGGGACTTAGTGGAGGTCTGTACTGTTAAACATGGATAAGTGGGACTTAGTGAATGTCTGTACTGAGATATATGGATAAGTGGGACTTAGTGGAGGTCTGTACTGTTAAACATGGATAAGAAGGACTGGTAGGGTTAGGCATGGATAAGTGGGTTCTTATGGGGCATCTGTAGGGTTATGTATGGATAGGTTCGGACTTAATTCAAGTCTGTAGGGTTATGTATGGATAAGTGAGACACAGATAATGATTCCATCCAAACAGTAATGACACATTGCATGTTAAAGGAGCTGCATACTTTTACTGATGTCTGAAGTAATTAAACTTGCTAGCCTGAAAGTAAGAGCATCAAACATGAATGTGATTTTCATTGCTGGCATCGCCATGTACAACCTGTTGAGCTGACAGTATTACAAGCAGGCCTAGTGGTGGCTGCTGTTGGTGTAATTTATATGCTAATAGTTTAACCACATGGATGATGTTGGCTTTGTATGAGGATACCAGACCTGTTCAGCCATAACAGAGTGACTTCCACTGCCAGATAAGGAACTATGTCCGTTAAACAATATTGATTGTTATTCAATGGGAATTAGTTTCAAGGTTTATTCTTTCAACCTGCTGATATCCCAGTCAATGCTTTAATGGAAAGGTATTACTAGTATTTGATAAATTGGTTTAGGATTGAGAAAGAATTGATATTTTGTGGACAGCCTTGACTCATTACAGTTATGAAATATTGAAACTCATGTAATTTATACATTCATTTGTAATATTATTTATGATAAAGGAGAATGTATAAAAGTTCATCTGATTGATGCAGAGTTGATGATATTTTCTCTGTTTATCCCATTACTATAAGAAAAAAGTAAGCATATTAATTTCTCAATTGTCATTACAATAAAGCTTTTTTGTGACAAGGCATTCCTGGCAGGAATTTGTTCTGACGTTCAATCACAGATTCTTGATGAAAAATGTATCTTCTGTAGAAACGTCATCGGAGTGATGCACAGGTAAACAACAGGAAGTCCGATGTCTTGCGAGATGGCACAATCGTATCAGCACGATGGCACACAGTTGTCGTGGGCGACATCATACGACTCAAAAACAATGACTTTGTTGCTGTAAGTATACTTTTACAAAGGTTAATGTAGCTGTTACTGGCTTCTGAGGTTGACATCATCTTTCATCACCAGTGCCAAGTCCTGCCTTGATTATTGCGTTTGACAAGAATGAAGAAAGGCTAGTCATGTGGTAGCTTTCGTTCATTTTGTTCATGTTCATTTGTCTTCCCTTAAAAGTGAGTTTTTCACCCAAATGTTAAATGTATTTGGGTTAGGAAACTGCATTATAGGATTCTATCATTTTGTTTACTGTTCCAAAAATAATCTATCTTAAAGTCCATATATATTTATATCTTTCTAAATCACAGCATATCAAGATGTCTTTCTTTTAACAGCAAATCTGACTTTCTTTAATCCCTCATTTCAATGGGAATAATTGACTGAGCCTAAAGGAGGCAAATGAACTGAGTTATTTCAGGAATATGTATTAACCCTATAATAACAAGAGCAGAGTTTACCTTAGACTTTTCCAAAAATGTCAAGAATATTGTATAAATATCCTGGTAGCAATGTCTGGTGCCTATTAGTCTAGCTCACATGATTAGCTGACTAACCAGGTATAGAAAGTACAATTGAATTGGCCTTGATAGTGATGGCATCAGGCTAGCAGCTGATTAGGTTATCCTCATATAGCCAGCCATCTTTGTCATCAAGATATGAGAAACAAGTAACTAGATGAATCACTTGATACTCCACAACTCGTGAAACTTGGATTGTAATGTTAACATATCAGCTGCATTTGAAATTTTTAAATACACTAACATCGCCATAGTTACCAGAGATGCCTATCAAACATATTTCAATAATTCTGAGTAAATCCACCTGAGTCATCTTCTCACTTTTTGTCTAACGTGAAAAGAGCAAACTTTTTATAGAAAGGGAAGTCTCATGGCATTATTATTGATCATACTAACATCGCAGAGATAGACAAGCAGCTGTTCTACAGCTGTCTACAGTGTTGTACAAATACTGTAGTAAGGTGACATTTACAGTATCTCAAGAGTATCAGAATGCTCGTTGAGGGATATGAGGGCCTGATTGAATATGCTGCCTACCATGAAACAACCCAAAAAGATATCTTAATGTAGCAAAGGTCTCATTTTTGGCCAAAAAGATAATCATGAAGTTTCAGTGTAAAACTGACATATTAAACCTTCAAAGTTCATTGTAATTGTTGTATATCTTGAATATTACCAGATCCAGCAGCACAAAAACATTTGGTGTCTACAAACCACAAATCTTTGCCTCCATGAAACACAAGCAGAACTAGCTGTTTCAGTGATTCCCAAACAGAAATACTGATGATTTTAGGATAGACATATTTCTCATTTTAGATGTAATGTGGTTTTAATGTTGTTTTTTCTACTAATTGAAAAAAATATTTATTAATGACTTTAGGACCCAAATATGACTGAATACTGATTTGTAGCACCATCCATAAAGACCCTCGAAACTAACACTTGCTTGGTTTGGGGCTAGAAACAAATGAAGCAATGCCGAGAGACTTTCCTATCTATAAGCTATTAACTCCATAGACTTGGATGCTGACTTCAGAACTATGGTGATGGATAGGCACAGGGTCTGTATCATTACGGAATGGAGATACACTTCCCAATAACAGACAATATAATAGGTAGAGAGGTACAGCAACTTTCTGCACAAAACCAGGACCAGGATATTGAAGCGAGTTTGTAGTAAACCCACAGTCCAGGATGCTGTAGCACCTCTGTAGTAAACCCACAGACCAGGATGCTGTAGCGCCTCTGTAGTAAACCCACAGACCAGGATGCTGTAGCACCTCTGTAGTAAACCCACAGACCAGGATGCTGTAGCACCTCTGTAGTAAACCCACAGGCTCCAGGATGCTGTAGCTGTAGCTCTCTGTAGTAAACCCACAGTCCAGGATGCTGTAGCACCTCTGTAGTAAACCCACAGACCAGGATGCTGTAGCTGTAGCTCCTCTGTAGTAAACCCACAGTCCAGGATGTGTAGTAAACCCACAGACCAGGATGCTGTAGCACCTCTGTAGTAAACCCACAGTCCAGGATGCTGTAGCTCTGTAGTAAACCCACAGTCCAGGATGCTGTAGGATGTAAGCCCCTCTCTGTAGTAAACCCACAGACCAGGATGCTGTAGCACCTCTGTAGTAAACCCACAGTCCAGGATGCTGTAGCACCTCTGTAGTAAACCCACAGTCCAGGATGCTGTAGCCTCTGTAGTAAACCCACAGACCAGGATGCTGTAGCGCCTCTGTAGTAAACCCACTGACCAGGATGCTGTAGCCTCTGTAGTAAACCCACAGACCAGGATGCTGTAGCACCTCTGTAGTAAACCCACAGACCAGGATGCTGTAGCAGCCTCTGTAGTAAAACCACAGATGCTGTAGCGCCTCTGTAGTAAACCCACAGACCAGGATGCTGTAGCACCTCTGTAGTAAACCCACAGTCCAGGATGCTGTAGCGCCTCTGTAGTAAACCCACAGACCAGGATGCTGTAGCGCCTCTGTAGTAAACCCACAGTCCAGGATGCTGTAGCGCCTCTGTAGTAAACCCACAGTCCAGGATGCTGTAGCGCCTCTGTAGTAAACCCACAGACCAGGATGCTGTAGCGCCTCTGTAGTAAACCCACAGACCAGGATGCTGTAGCTCTCTGTAGTAAAACCCACAGTCCAGGATGCCAGGATGCTGTAGCGTAAACCCACAGTCTGCTGTAGTAAACCCACAGTCCAGGATGCTGTAGCGCCTCTGTAGTAAACCCACAGCTGCTGTAGCTCCTCTGTAGTAAACCCACAGACCAGGATGCTGTAGTAAACCCACTTGTAGCCCCCACAGTAGTAAACCCACAGTCCAGGATGCTGTAGCACCTCTGTAGTAAACCCACCAGGACCAGGATGCTGTAGCGCCTCTGTAGTAAACCCACAGACCAGGATGCTGTAGCCTCTCTGTAGTAAACCCACAGTAAACCCACAGTCCAGGATGCTGTAGCGCTCTGTAGTAAACCCACAGTCCAGGATGCTGTAGCTGTAGCCAGGATGCTGTAGCTCTGTAGTAAACCCACAGTCCAGGATGCTGTAGCCTGTAGTAAACCCACAGACCAGGATACTCTGTAGTAAACCCACTGACCAGGATGCTGTAGCGACTCTGTAGTAAAACCCACAGTCCAGGATGCTGTAGCTCTGTCGTAGAAACCCACTGACCAGGATGCTGTAGGATGCCTCTGTAGTAAACCCACAGTGACCAGGATGCTGTAGTACCCACTGACCAGGATGCTGTAGCGCCTCTCTTTAATGCTGTAGCCTAAACCCACTGACCAGGATGCTGTAGCTTCTGTAGTAGCCCACAGACCAGGATGCTGTAGTAGTAGACCCACTGACCAGGATGCTGTAGCGCCTCTGTAGTAGACCCACTGACCAGGATGCTGCTTCCCATGACGAACCACTTACACTGTTGTTTCTGTGTGTTTCAGGCTGACTTATTGTTGCTGTCATCGAGTGAACCCAACAGTTTATGCTACATTGAAACTGCAGAGTTGGATGGGTAAGCTAATGTACACTATGGTGAAACCTGGAGGGGGTTGGGGGAGACATTTGTTCAGTCCGTGGTGACAGGCTACCAAGAATTTTATTTGCCATTGAATATGTTCTCATGTTAGCACCAAACTCCCAAAATCATCAATGTCATGTTCAAACTGGTTCTGGGGCTGTGGGGTAGCCTTATGGTTCAAGTGTTCTCTCATCATCCCAAAGACCTGGGTTCAATTCCCCATATGGATACACTGTGTGAAGCCATTTATGATATCCCCTGCTTATGATGATATTGCTTGAATATGCTAAAGTGCTAGAAAACCTTACTTTCTCACTCACCCCAGCTGGTTCTGTATGTCCTCTCACTCACTGCAGCTGGTTCTGTATGTCCTCTCACTCACCGCAGCTGGTTCTGTATGTCCTCTCACTCACCCCAGCTGGTTCTGTATGTCCTCTCACTCACCCCAGCTGGTTCTGTATGTCCTCTCACTCACCCCAGCTGGTTCTGTATGTCCTCTCACTCACCCCAGCTGGTTCTGTATGTCCTCTCACTCACCGCAGCTGGTTCTGTATGTCCTCTCACTCACCCCAGCTGGTTCTGTATGTCCTCTCCTCACTCCAGCTGGTTCTGTATGTCCTCTCACTCAGCTGGTTCTGTATGTCCTCTCACTCACCGCAGCTGGTTCTGTATGTCCTTCCTCACTCACCGCAGCTGGTTCTGTATGTCCTCTCTCACTCACCGCGAGCTGGTTCTGTATGTCCTCTCACTCACCGCAGCTGGTTCTGTATGTCCTCTCACTCACCGCAGCTGGTTCTGTATGTCCTCTCACTCACCCCAGCTGGTTCTGTATGTCCTCTCACTCACCCCAGCTGGTTCTGTATGTCCTCTCACTCACCGCAGCTGGTTCTGTATGTCCTCTCACTCACCGCAGCTGGTTCTGTATGTCCTCTCACTCACCGCAGCTGGTTCTGTATGTCCTCTCACTCACCCAGCTGGTTCTGTATGTCCTCTCACTCACCGGCAGCTGGTTCTGTATGTCCTCTCACTCACCTGCAGCTGGTTCTGTATGTCCTCTCACTCACTGCAGCTGGTTCTGTATGTCCTCTCACTCACCGCCCAGCTGGTTCTGTATGTCCCTCTCACTCACCGCAGCTGGTTCTGTATGTCCTCTCACTCACCCCAGCTGGTTCTGTATGTCCTCTCACTCACCGCAGCTGGTTCTGTATGTCCTCTCACTCACCGCAGCTGGTTCTGTATGTCCTCTCCTCACCTCACCCCAGCTGGTTCTGTATGTCCTCTCACTCACCGCAGCTGGTTCTGTATGTCCTCTCACTCACACGCAGCTGGTTCTGTATGTCCTCTCACTCACCCAGCTGGTTCTGTATGTCCTCTCACTCACATGCAGCTGGTTCTGTATGTCCTCTCACTCACCGCCCAGCTGGTTCTGTATGTCCTCTCACTCACCGCAGCTGGTTCTGTATGTCCTCTCACTCACCGCAGCTGGTTCTGTATGTCCTCTCACTCACTGCAGCTGGTTCTGTATGTCCTCTCACTCACTGCAGCTGGTTCTGTATGTCCTCTCACTCACCGCAGCTGGTTCTGTATGTCCTCTCACTCACCGCAGCTGGTTCTGTATGTCTTCTCACTCACCGCAGCTGGTTCTGTATGTCTTCTCACTCACCGCAGCTGGTTCTGTATGTCCTCTCACTCACCGCAGCTGGTTCTGTATGTCCTCACTCAAGAGGCTTATTTCACAGACTAATACTGCTGGTACTGTTGGTAAAGACCAACCTTCTCATTGAAGTCTCAGAAACAACCGAACTTAGTGTTTTGTATTGTATTGGTGAGAGATCGTTTAGTAAATCTGCAAAGTTAAGGGCTCACTTTGAAAATTCAGTGGTGTTTTACACTGTCTGGTGGTGTGATGTCTAGCTACAGGTGTCATGCTCAGTACAGTATGGTGAAGAGTTTGGTGGATCCCAACTCATGGGCAAGTAGTTCTCTATTTGTTCTGGCTATATAAATATGAACATCATGTTCTGTGTCCCTTCCTTACTGCATTGAAGTTTGGAAAGTGTACACAATCAAGTTCTATATGACTATGGCAAGGAACAGGATTCTGGGATCATTATGTCGTCTATTGCTTGTAAGCATACTCCAGTATAGACCAATATATATTTTCAGTAAACAATGTAGTTGAAATATTGTTGACATTCTCCCACTCATTCTCCAGTCTTCACCATTTAGTTTATAAGAAAGGGAACACCTTTTTGTCCATGCTTGATGGTGTAAAGCGGTATTAAACATGAGTGGCTCAGAGATTCTTAGTACATGACAACTAATGTGATAGACAAATAAGGGCATGATAGGAGATATATCAGAAGAGTGAGTGAGTTTATTTTACGCCGCTTTAGCAATATTCCAGCAATATTATGACGGGAATATCGGAAGAAAGAATTGAAAAAGATTGAATTGTCCTGACTGTAGCTGTGTTGTTAACTAAACCCTTTGCTGATGCATTACCTTGAACAGGTGAGCCTCCGTACTGTTATATTATGTGTGTTTGTGTTCTTCAGAGAGACCAATCTGAAAGTGAAGCAGGCATTGCCAGAGACTGCAGTCATTGGAGACGATCATGCCAAGATGGCCGAGTTTAATGGTGAGTTGTCACGGCCTTCTTGTATCTTACCTCTTAATGTCTGTGTCCCAACACCTTACATATCCAATCACATACCTACCCCCTACATGATACCTGTCCCCACCTCTCACACACCTTCCAGCATCCACCTCTCTAAGATATTCCTACACCTTTATATGTTGCACATACTTACCCCCTACGTGATACCTGTCCCCACCTCTCACACACCTTCCAGCATCCACCTCTCTCCGATATTCCTACACCCTTATATGTTGCACATACTTACCCCCTACATGATACCTGTCCCCACCTCTCACACACCTTCCAACATCCACCTCTCTCTGATATTCCTACACCCTTATATGTTGCACATACTTACCCCCTACATGATACCTGTCCCCACCTCTCACACACCTTCCAACATCCACCTCTCTCTGATATTCCTACACCTTATATGTTGCACATACTTACCCCCTACATGATACCTGTCCCCACCTCTCACACACCTTCCAACATCCACCTCTCTCCGATATTCCTACACCTTATATGTTGCACATACTTACCCCCTACGTGATACCTGTCCCCACCTCTCACACACCTTCCAACATCCACCTCTCTCCGATATTCCTACACCCTGTATGTTGCACCTCTCTCCGATATTCCTACACCTTATATGTTGCACCTCTCTCCGATATTCCTACACCTTGTATGTTGCACCTCTCTCCGATATTCCTACACCTTATATGTTGCACCTCTCTCCGATATTCCTACACCCTGTATGTTGCACCTCTCTCCGATATTCCTACACCTTATATGTTGCACCTCTCTCCGATATTCCTACACCCTGTATGTTGCACCTCTCTCCGATATTCCTACACCCTTATTGCACATACATACTAACCCCCTACATGATACCTGTCCCCACCTCTCACACACCTTCCAACATCCACCTCTCTCTGATATTCCTAAACCTTTATATGTTGCACATACTGCAGCCTTCTCCTCACCTACCTCCTGATTTACACAATCACTGGATTATCTGGTTCAGACTTGATTATATATGGGCTACTGTCATAGTGGGACTATTGTAGATATACCAAAAAAACTTTGGTTTTCAAGTACTAGTTTTATGATATTGATTGTGGCTACCAGTTGAAGAATGTGGGCTGTAGATGGATCAGATCAATTACAAGGCCAGCTGTAGAGATTGATGTTTTGGGACGTCAAGTTCCTCTGGATCACTCCACCACTCCCGGGACACACATCTGTGCCTGCTGTTATTGATTTCAAGTTTGAGATTTTCTAGGTCATATGTCAGCATGTTCCTGTCATGGATGATTGATGCAGATGGTTTCAAATAACAGATGTCAGTACACACATTTCTCTTAACTTTAAAAATAATATTTCATATTTTGGATAAATATTGCTGTTCTGGTGAGGAAAGGGGACAGTTTTTGGTCACAGATCAAAACAAATTAAGAACCCTTTCATAAATATATTTTTCATTTCATTTCAATGATAATATGAGTTCATTATAATCTAATTGAAAATGAACAAATATATATTTTCGGAGTATTTGAGGTAATGTATATCGCCGCATATATGGTGAGTTTTGATTACCTGAAATGAAGGGTCTGGGAAAGAGGGGTCGCCTTATACGTGGGGTGGAAGATCGCACATTTGTTTTCTGACTTTTTTTTAATATCAACGGTGGCTGATAACCAGTGATGTTGTTTCAGGCATTGTATAAGAAAATATTATGCCATATGTGAAGCAACAGATAAGCAAATTGAGGGGGAATATAATAACCAGTTTTTGTGTGTACGTCATTGCAAGGTAATGGCAAGGCTAATTTTAAACTTATCCTATCTGACGTTATGCACTTTCTATTGTTCTTACAACCCTGGAGTGAAAATGACCTGAAACTAAGTTTTCAGCCTCTTCTAACATCACACCCAAACAAACTCAATCTCTATCTATTGTTGTAGGCAGTGATCATAAGCTCATGCAAAGCTGGCACTTGCTCTGGTCAGAGACCATATGGTCTCTGCTCTGGTCGACCATAGGACTCCCATCAGTTCACATTGCAACGTGTAATTTCTTTAGTAAAAAATGAGGAGTACAGAATTGTTAAAATGTTCAAACTTTCTATGTCCTTCATGTCTTTCTTTGTCCCTTTACAGCTGACATAATCAGTGAGGCCCCAAACATACGGCTGAGCAAGTTCGAGGGCAAGCTGACATGGAAAGGAGAGAGCTACTCCCTGGACAATGACAAGGTGGTGTTGAGGGGATGTGTCTTGCGAAACACCCAGTGGTGCTATGGACTTGTCATCTTTGCTGGCCATGACTCCAAGCTGATGATGAACAGTGGCAAGACAGTGTTCAAGAGAACCCACATCGATCGCCTCATGAATATCCTCATCGTTGGTGTGAGTTTTAGCCTGTAACATGTATTGGATTTAGGACAACCGGCTTGCAAGGGCTAATTATTTTTGGGATTGGGTGGGCACATCAGTATGCATAGTATTTTGCTGAAGAAACACCTTGACGTAATTCGATCCATCCTCATACACTAAAGGTGTTCTCTGAATGAAAATAAGTACTGACAGACTACTTCCACATTCCTCAGGAAACTCCTTGGAATTCCCAAACCAGACAGGTTAACTTCAGGTGCTGATCTTTAGAACCTGTGACCCCTTGAACATCCAGGGCCATGCACAGATATATTCACAGACACTTATTCTGGTGGGCAAACCAAAGAATTGCACTGCGTCACTCAAACTGTTGCATCACTTTGTGCCCTGATTGACAGTCTACAGCAGTATTTGACTTTATGTCATTGTCATTACCTGTCTCAATATCTTTAAGATCACCTTTCACTGTTTCAGTAGCCTCTGGGTCTCTGCTAGTTTGGCCCCACAATTAATCTAATCAATTCACGCAAAGTGAAAATCAGTTCTTAAGTCAACAATCGAAGCACTACTGCTGTCATCATTCTTCTGACTGATGTCAGACTGGAGGTAGCCACAACACTTTACGCACAGGCCAGGAAGTATTGCTGGGTCTGTAGGAGAGGGTCCTGCGCTGACCACATATCCTTTTTCCTTCAGATATTCCTGTTCCTGTTGACCATGTGCCTGGTTACTACTGTTGCTTGTGGGGTCTGGGAGAGTGTGGTCGGCTTTGACTTCCAGTTTTATCTCCCTTGGGAGAGCTTTGTGAATACCTCAAAAGAACGGGGTTCTGCAACTATTGCTGTGCTGGTGTTTCTGTCTTACCTCATCATCCTCAACACTGTCGTACCAATCTCCCTGTATGTCAGGTGAGTAGCTTGTTAGACCAATCTCTTTGTATGTCAGGTGAGTAGCTTTTCAGATCAATCCCTGTATGTCAGGTGAGTAGCTTGTTAGACCAACCTCTTTGTATGTCAGGTGAGTAGCTTGTCAGACCAATCTGTCACCGCCTCCGTGGTGTAGTGGTGAGTAGCTTGTCAGTCCAATCCTCACGCCTCGGAAGGTCGTTAGGGTTCGATCCCGACCGACAGCGTCATACCAATAGACGTTAAATCACGGTACTTGTTGGTCCCTGCCTGGCGCTCGGCATTAATGGGTACAACAAGGACTGGTCGCCTCGGAGTCAGTATAATGTGTCTGAGTGGGGTATTCATGCTTCACTGCGGCATGGTATCTCAGTGGGCTAGCACTATAAAACCAGCTTCAGTCTGGGCTAGTACAAGCAGCCGCACATACACATACACACGCATGCACGTCGTCATATGAGCGAAATATTCTCCAGCGCGACGTTAAACCCAATTTCACCTCACCACCACCTCAGACCAATCTCCCTGTATGTCAGGTGAGTAACTTGTCAGACCGATCTCTCTGTATGTCAGGTGAGTAGCTTGTCAGACCGATCTCCCTGTATGTCAGGTGAGTAGCTTGTCAGACCAATCTCCCTGTATGTCAGGTGAGTAGCTTGTCAGACCAATCTCTCTGTATGTCAGGTGAGTAGCTTGTACCTGTCTTCTAAACATTGTCCACCAAGAAGCAGCCTACATTTCACCAATTACTAGTTTCTAGGGTCCTGGAGAAATAAGTGTTCTGTTATCTAAAGATTTATGTTTCATTAAATAAATTGGAGATTATATTTTTGGTCACGGTTCTGGTACAGTGATTATTATTGTCATTCCTCAGGATGCATTCTATATTTGTTCTGCATGTTTTCTATACTTTTGTGCTTACTGGATGCACATTTCTGCGTTGCCTAAAATCCTGTTTGTTAATGTTTTCAAATTCCATTGAATGTGTTGGTGCATGCTTACAGTGTGGAGATAATCCGTCTAGTCAATAGTTTGTGGATCAACTGGGATGTCAAGATGTACTTCGACAAGAAGGACACACCTGCAAAAGCCCGGACCACTACCCTTAACGAGGAACTCGGACAGATTGAATACATTTTCTCTGACAAGACAGGAACTCTCACACAGGTGTTTACTTTGGAGTTAACATAGCCATTTGTTATAACTGAAAGAAGGATGTATTAGAAACAGTCGTTAGAGTATTAGAATTATTTGAAGTTAGTGCTGGAAATATTCTTTTTTACACATTAATAAAGCAAAATATTTCGTTGAGACTGGTAACAGGATTGATGGGAAAGAAATGGTAACGTAAAAACTTAAAGGGGTGTGGTGGTACAGTCATCCCTCGCAGTGATGCCCTTTGCGATGCTGTAGTTTCGGTTAAATCTGTGGCTCCCATATAAAAACCCAAGAGATCCCCAGAGATCACACATCTTCATGTCATCGGAAATAGCCGCGGTTGTGTTATGTTGTAAACTAGCGAAATTCAGGGCAGATCTCAATAAAAAGTGTTCATTTTACATATCCTTGTATTATGGGTTTCCAGATGCTTTAGGAACATTCTGGGTTTTCTTGATTAATCAGACAAACAGTGGAACATAGTACTAAGTTATAAAAGACAACTTTTCAATAAAGACATGCCATTACCCCAATGGGTATTCGATCCATGGACCCCAAAACCCATGTTATGATGTGGGATGCCTGTAGTTGATCCAAAACAGGCCAAACTTTATAATAAATGGTTTACAAATATGACAACTAAAACCATTTGATTCTTTTATTTATCCCTCACCAACAGTATGCATTATTCCTACTTGCGAAGATTACATAGGAATGTAGACACATGTAGAACATTCACACAACACACCCTCTGCCCACCTGGCTCCCAGCATGTGTCTGTACCACTTGCCATCTTTTCCTTCGGCACCCATGTCAGAGGGGGCATGATTTTACTACAATCGTAATTTACAACTGGGTTTGGCTTTTGCTAATCTGAACTTATTAATCCTTTGTGTAACCTGTTGTGGTGACCTCAGGGTAGTTTGATACATTAACGTAAACCTAATGACATTCATCTATATTCGCTCACTTGCTCACTTTCTTCTGTGGCTGTGATGTAGAACTTGTGTCACATCCACCGATGTGAAGACAGGTCCACTGGTTGTGTTGATACACCTACACATGCATGTTGTATGAAGATAATCAACATGTGCATGTTGTTCATGTTCTATGAAGATAATCAACATGCGCATGTTGTATGAAGATAATCAACATGTGCATGTTCTGTGAAGATAATCAACATGCGCATGTTGTATGAAGATAATCAACATGCGCATGTTCTGTGAAGATAATCAACATGCGCATGTTGTATGAAGATAATCAACATGTGCATGTTGTATGAAGATAATCAACATGTGCATGTTGTATGAAGATAATCAACATGTGCAAGTTCAATGAAGATAATCAACATGTGCATGTTGTATGAAGATAATCAACATGCGCATGTTCTGTGAAGAAAATCAACATGCACAATCATATGAAGATAATCAACATGTGCATGTTAACAGTTGCATGAAGCCATGTATGTTAAAGAGGTTTAACTTGTTTGTTTTGTTTCAGAACATCATGACATTTAACAAGGCATCTATAGGTGCGAAAAGTTACGGCGACCCGCTGGATGATGAAGGGAACCCGCAAGACATCACAGAGGTGTGTTTCTGTCTGTTATACAGTGAAGTAGGCAGTCACGGGAAGGTTTGCCAAGGGAGTTAACCGGGACAGTTCTTGCTGCTCATATGCCCCTGGTGAAGAGACCTTATTTGTCCTTATCCTGACTCATGCTTAATTGCTTGTCTCCTTCTTCTTGGGAATGATAGTGGAACACTTGAATCCACTTTTGAAACTCCCTTAAAAAAAGCGGACGTAAAATCACTCACCCAGTGTTATCTCCCTTTAGATGTTTTGGCGGGAAATCCGTCACATGACCCAACATGCTCTTCACTCTCTCCTTCTTCGCCCTAGAGGACGGTTGTGATAGCGCCTGGGTCCCCTATACGGCGTTATATCTTTTATATTTAGTCCTTTACTACTAACTTAGCTGTATACAGCATTTCGGATGATATACCAGCAATATGGTTTGAAATTTTTGTCTAAATTATCTGTTTATTCACGTTGTTGTCATGATTTTTCATCTTGTTTACAATTGATGAAAACTTGCATTCGTTGCAGGTACCGGTTGTCGGTTGCTAATCCGCTTTTATTATGTCCTTATTGTACTTCTACATGTTCTTCCAGCTTTTGCTGTCAACTTTGTCAGCATTGATCTGAAATTGAATTTAATAATTATTTATATTCCATTCTTAGACGTGCCAAGGACAGGCCTAGACGGCTTTTACAGGTCATGTCTAAACCGAGTGATTGCGCTGATAACCGTTTATTGCTGTCTGCTGACATTCACCATTCCAGTGATTTGACGGTTGCTACTACGGAGCATGTTGCTGTGGCTGATGGTAGCTCCGGCTCCAGGAAGAGGTCGTCAACATCAACTATAGCCTCGTCACAGTCTAAGAAGACTAGGGCATCGTCTTCTCAGAAGAAGAAGTCGTCTGCAGATAAGACTCCCCGGCGAAGTCTTCCCATGACCAGGTCCTTCGCTGCAGAGATCATCCCTTCAGACACAGTAGAATATGACGAGCCACCCATCCTCATTCCTGAAGTAGCAGTGAAGAAGAAGACGAGGTCTTTGTCTACAGTAACATCAGCAGTCATCTCAGCGCCGTCAGACGTTCTATCATCGCAGACATCAAATAGAGATGGCAGGTCTTCACAAGTGCAGCAGTCCTTGGGAGAAGCCTCAGCACTCTCAGATGCGTCGTCCTCATTGCAGCAGCAGCAGCCGTCGTCGTCTCAGAGTTTCAACCCGGGTATCTTCATGCAGCAGTTTACTCAGCAGATGTTGGACCTGATGGAACGGAGGTTCCGCAGGAGAAAGCTGCGACGAAGGCTTCATCTACGACGAGCCTGCATGAAGGACAAGCAGCCTGCAGATCGCATCCCGCTGAAGATAGTAGCCTGCGTGAAGGAGGAAACCTACATGAAGGATCACACACTCGACGTTGTTCCACGACAACTTCACGAGAACCTGCCAGCCTGGACAACGATGAATCTGCAATAGATATTCCAGAGGAGCATTCGCGCAGGAGCAGAACCAGACGTTCATCGGAGCATCACAGATCATCCTTCACCTCAGATACGGAGCAAGCACAACGGCAACGGTCTTCACAACAAGATGTATCCAAATCTGAAGATAATGGTGGAATCTTATTCTCCGATACAGAGATCAAATCTTGGATGGCAAATGGATTGGAACTTGCATCATCTTCTAAAGAAGATAATGAAGCATTCACGTATATGATGTCAAACGAGGAGTTTGATACACTTACCCTTCCACTCATCGATCCTGTCTCGGATGTACCGGAGAACCTCAGCACAGCCTTCAGGAAGGCAACGAAGTTCCAGAGTAAAGGGTCCCGCCATTTAACTACAAGAAGTTCTCACTTCACCACATGGAACCCTTCATGAAGGCCCCAGAGATAGATGAGAACTACAACATCATCAACGACTCCCGATCTAGGACTTATAAAGTAGAGGATAAATAGTTGGCACAACTAGACACAACTACCAGACGTACCTTCTTTGGTCTAGCCAGGTCAAGAGCCATCAATGAAACCCTCATTGCGAAGTTCAGGAACTCAGACCTCTGAAGAAGATAAAATGATCTACTTGGCATTGCTGACCCAAAAGAAAGATCATCAGTTTATGTCCGAACATCTGGCATCCACATCAGCGGGCCTGACGCTCTTGAGAAGACAAGGATTGCTGTGTTCCTGTAGTTGGAGTGAGCGCTTCACCAAGACACTGTACAGAGCTCCGTGGTCAGCATCGTCTATCTTCACAGGGGAAATTGAGGACGTGGCCAAAGAAGTGACGAAAGAGTCAAGGGAGGTAATGATGATCAAGTCCATCAATACACTAGCCAGTGTTATCCGTCAGACGTCGCAATGCTACTCCGGCAAGTCGAAGTTTAGGGGAATACCGAGAGCCAGGGAAAAGAAATACGGCAGCTCCAGAGGAGGCAAGGATTCTTTTCGTTGCCCAACCAGAGCTCCCAGAGGTAACCCCGGAAGAAGCAGGGCAGGTGCCAGGAACTTTAGACGCTGAAGGATGGGTTCGGAACAACTGGAATCTTCTATCCCCAGCCGTTCCCATACGGAGGATACAAGATACAACTACAAGCAGTACCACCATTAACAAGCAACTCTGTGGCCCACAACTATGCTGCCGATCAGATGGAGAACCTACTCGACGCCATCACAACTCTACTCGAGAAGGAGGCGATCGAAGAAATAAAACAGGAGCTCGTCACACACGGTTTTTTACTCCCCAATCTTCTTAGTACCAAAGAAAAATTCCAGGCAAAAGTTCCGACTTATCAACAACATGAGGAAATTCAACCAAGATTATCTACGCAGTCCCGCAAAGTTCAGAATGATACATCTTCCTCAACTGCGACAACTCGTACGTCAGTTAGACTACCTCGCCAGCATAGATCTACAGGATGCGTATCATCACATCCCGATACATCCGGACTCAAGGAAATACCTACGATTCCTCTTCAACGGACGTCACTTCCAATGGAAGGTGCTACCATTTGGAATATCGTCGACCCCCTGGTTGTTTACTTGAGTGACAAAGCCAATCATCACATATCTACATCATCGAGGTCTACGCAGTGCGCTTTTACCTGGATGACGGGATTCAAGCTCATCAAGATCCCAGTCAACTCAGACTGCAGCTAGACTTCACAATCAGGCTACTCACTCAACTAGGATGGCTAGTAAATCTCCTCAAGTCGGAACTAGAACCCACACAGGATCTGCAATTCCTAGGAATACGGCTCATCACATCGCAGAATCGTAAAGTCGTCCCAGAGGAGCATTTGGTCAAGATACAACAAATGATATCTCAAGCACTACTCTCGCCGTTACCACTACGAAGTTGGCAGAGCCTACTTGGTCTTCTCACGTCAGCACAAAACATCACACGCAGAGGAAGGCTACAACTGCGCCCACTACAAGTGTTCGTGAACGCTCATCTAGACAGTCTGGACTCATTCCGTCTACCGGACGGACTGAAACCATATCTTCTATGGTGGACTCGGAAGTCAAATGTTTGCGGAGGAACCTACTTATCAGAGCTGGAGTACAACACTCATCTCTACGTAGATGCATCACTTCAAGGATGGGGAGCCCACCTCGACAGCGAAGTGGCAGCAGGGAAATGGTCGAGTCAGGAGCAAAGTCAGAAAGCAGTAATAAACGCCTTACTACACTGGTCCAGCATACTAAGGAACGCACAACTGATGATCCATACGGACAACTCCACAGTGGCTTTCTACATCAACAAACTATGATCAACAAGGTCAATGAATCTTCTAGACCTCAGCTTTCATCTGTTCAGTATAATAGACAACCTGAACAGCGACTTAAAAGCATGTCACATTCCTGGAGCCAAGAATGTGATATCAGACACCCTATCTCATCCAACACAACCATCCCTGACGGACTGGATGTTACATCCAGAAGCATTCAGATGCATCATACAGAGGATAGGATCTCCGCTGATAGACCTGTTTGCTACCAGGTTCAACAAACAACTACCAACATTCGTCTCTCCGGTTCCGGGTCCACAAGCATGGGCAACAGATGCTCTAAGCATCTCCTGGGAAGGACTAAGCGCCTACGCGTTTCCACCTCCAGCTCTAATACCGCAAGTGTTGCAGAAAATCAAGCAGACGAAGAAGCTGCAACTGATTTTGGTCACCCCCTACTGGCCAGCGAGGGTGTGGTTTCCCATCCTCATACAAAAACTCGGAAGTCTAACCTTGCAACTCCCAGAGAGGCCGAACCTACTAATTCATCCGCACACCAAGCAAGTACACAGAAATCCAACAGTATTCCAACTACATGCATGGAACTTATCAAAACTTCGCCAGAGCAGCGAACGCAGTCACACTAGCTCTACGTAGATCAACCCGCAGCTTGTACGATGACAAGTGGCAGAGTTTTGAGAGATATGCATTGAGGAAGGGCTTCACGGCGATGAAAGCAACACATCCTCAAGTGGCGGAATACCTTTGTCATCTAAGACAAATGAGGTGGTTAAAAGGTTCAACACTCTACATACCTAGTGGCCCTCAGCACGGTTATCACCATGAAGACGGGTGTTAATCTGACCAAAGTACCAGAGATACTGGCTCTACTACGCTCCTTTAAGTTAGAATAACTACAAAAGAAATTTAAAGCGCCTGCTTGGGATCTCAACGTAGTCTTGCAGCATCTCACCAGTGACGCTTACGAACCACTAAAAGGACATCCTACGAGTTTCTAACACATAAAACTCTGTTCCTGGTCGCCTTGGCAACAGCAGCTGGGATGTCGGAAATACATGCTCTGGACTTTGAACAATACGATTTTGATGCACATCGCAACATCATACATCTGGGATTGAGATTGGACTTCATAGCAAAGAACCAACTGCCCGGTCAACCAGACAGACAATTCCACATCCCGGCACTCTCGGCAGTCCTTGGACCACAGGATACTCAGGATCTATCCTTATGCCCAGTCAGAGCATTGAAAGTCTACCTACAAAGGTCTAAGACGAGGAGACGAAAATTCAAGTGCCTTTTCATCCCTCTATCTACGGAGACGCCTACAGAGATCTCACGTACAACGATATGAATATGGATGAGAGCCGTCCTACAAAGCAGCAAGACTTGAGCCTCCACAAGCCTCCAATCCTCATGAAGTCAGTGCGCTGGCATCGACACTCGCTCTACATGGAAACTGTTCCATCTCGACAATAATGGAGGGCTGCTATTGGAAGTCAGAGACGGTGTTTGCCAACCACTACCTCAGAGACATTGCTACCGAGGACGTCTCCGGCATTCACCAGTTTGGGCCTCTTGTAGCACAACAATTGATGGTTCCTCAAAGGCGCTGAGATGAATCTCACCCTTTTATCACGTGACTTATAAAAAACAACGCTCGGAAGAGCTAGAGCTTAGAGTCCATGTGCATGTCTAGGACAGGCCAGCATGAGTGACAGACCCTATACTTGTAAGGACTTACTCGTATATGAAGAAAGGTCGCTTCTCCACTTGATGCGAGCATCAAGACATGGAGTCGTATAAATCCACACTTAATGTCAGGAGAAGCGGTTCAAGCTGACAAGTTGTGGTCCCCCCAAACTCATCAGAGGAAGCTGGAAGAAAGGATCAGCATAGTACTATAAGAAGTTCCCTCAGGGGGGTATGCAGGACGTAAATCAGCAATGATTCGAGAGTGGCTTGACCCACCACTGGTTCCGTTGGATTCAAGTAATTAAGCATGAGTCAGGATAAGGAAAAATATGTAATTTTTTTATTAAAATTGATATTTTATACTTATCCTGAATCATGAGGTAAGCCCTCCCAACCTCCCCTCATGGCACTCTGGATTCCCTGTAATCCAGGTGTCGGGGGTATTTTTCGGAGAGAGTGAGGAGCATGTTGGGTCATGTGACGGATTTCCCGCCAAAACATCTAAAGGGAGATAACACTGGGTGAGTGATTTTACATCCGCTTTTTTAAGGGAGTTTCAAAAGTGGATTCAAGTGTTCCCACTATCATTCCCAAGAAGAAGGAGACAAGCAATTAAGCATGAGTCAGGATAAGTATAAAATATCAATTTTAAGCAAAAAATTACATATTTAATGGCACACTAAGTAATATTCCTGCTTTGTGACAGTGGTCTGTAAATAACCAATTCTGGACCAGAAACTCCAGCAGTGGACATCATGAGGATCCATTCACACCATTGGGATATAATAACATGAAATCATACTTGCTACCAAATATGAAACTTGTTTCCTTTTCAACGAGCATAGGCTTGAGGGGCCTATATATGTATACCCTAAAATATGTTATGCTTGTTATCCTCCTGATATGCTAGTCATCTTTCTGATATGCTGTCATCTTTCTGATATGCTAGTCATCTTTCTGATATGCTAGTCATCTTTCTGATATGCTAGTCATCTTTCTGATATGCTAGTCATCTTTCTGATATGCTAGTCATCTTTCTGATATGCTAGTCATCTTTCTGATATGCTAGTCATCTTTCTGATATGCTAGTCATCTTTCTGATATGCTATTATCTGATATGCTATTAGCATATTGAGTTGTCTAATCGTACTTCACATGGGATTATGTTTAAACTGGGATAGCCTAGTGGACCAATATAGGGAGAGATTTGCTTAGCCTGCTGGGATGTGGTTAGAAAAATGTTCACGGCAGATAATCCTGACTCGTTAACTCATACTAGACATGTTTCAAGAGCAAGGCTTACAAATGTTCTTAGAACATCTCAAGGAAGTCTTCTCTTATTATTGTGCACTTGTTTGATTGTTGAAATGTGTTCCGTGATGTTGAATTGACATGGAATCTGTTCCACTGTTCCAGAGAACTCCCAAAGTAGATTTCAGTGAAAATGAGTATGCAGAGAAGTCATTTGAATTTTATGACCAGCGTCTGCTGGAGCACACCAAGGGCGGCAACCACCAGGTGGAGGAGTTCTTCAGGCTGCTCAGTCTCTGTCATACTGTCATGCCAGAAACCAAGGAAAATGGTAGGTGCAGAACCTCATGTAATCATGCAGGAAACCAGGGAAATGGTAGGTACAGAACCTCATGTAATCATGCAGGAAACCAGGGAAATGGTAGGTACAGAACCTCATGTAATCATGCAGGAAACCAGGGGAAATGGTAGGTACAGAACCTCATGTAATCATGCAGGAAACCATGTAATCATGCAGGAAATGGTAGGTACAGAACCTCATGTAATCATAGGTGCAGTAATCATGCAGGAAACCAGGGAAATGGTAAACCATGTAATTATGCAGGAAATGGTAGGTACAGAACCTCATGTAATTATGCAGGAAACCAGGGAAATCATGTAATCATGCAGGAAACCAAGGGAAAATGGTAGGTACAGAACCTCATGTAATCATGCAGGTAAACCAGGGAAATGGTAGGTACAGAACCTCATGTAATCATGCAGGAAACCAGGGAAATGGTAGGTACAGAACCTCATGTAATCATGCAGGAAACCAAGGAAATGGTAGGTACAGAACCTCATGTAATCATGCAGGAAACCAGGGAAATGGTAGGTACAGAACCTCATGTAATCATGCAGGAAACCAAGAAAATGGTAGGTACAGAACCTCATGTAATTATGTACAGGAAACCAAACCAGGAAATGGTAGGTACAGAACCTCATGTGCAGAATCATGCAGGAAACCAAGGAAAATGGTAGGTACAGAACCTCATGTAATCATGCAGGAAACCAAGGGAAATGGTAGGTGCAGAACCTCATGTAATCATGCAGTAATCATGCAGGAAACCAAGGGAAATGGTAGGTACAGAACCTCATGTAATCATGCAGGAAACCAAGAAAAATGGTAGGTACAGAACCTCATGTAATCATGCAGGAAACCAAGGAAATGGTAGGTACAGAACCTCATGTAATCATGCAGGAAACCAAGGTAAATGGTAGGTAAACCAGGGAAAATGGTAGAAATGGTAGGTACAGAACCTCAAGGGAAATGGTAGGTGCAGAACCTCATGTAATCATGCAGGAAACCAGGGAAATGGTAGGTACAGAACCTCATGTAATCATGCAGGAACCAGCAGCGGTTTAACAAAAGGGATCCAGGAAGGGAATTTGTCTCCACAGGCTTCTTCTTAGGGCGGAGTTAAACGGCAGTCAGATGGTTACAGTGATAGTGGAGATTAACACATCGTCACAAAAATAATGTTAACTTACTTACGAATATATATCCACTGAATACAGATGAAGCCAGATGAAGCCCAAACAATGCTCAGTTTCAGGGATGATGCAATCTAGACTTGTCACACTAAGTGATATGGCTGCACCTGTTGTCCTACTTCCATTACAGGGATCTTTGCTTGTGTTCCTAACCATTATGCTGGCCCCAGTTGCACAATATTACACCCAGGTCACTATGATAAGACTCCTTGTCCAGCGCTGGGTATATTGACCTGGATCCCTTCTAATGTCACATATACAGCCAGTCTATAAGTGTGTAGTCCATGTATACTAAACATGGTATTGTTGCAGGCAACCTGGAGTATCAGGCTCAGTCCCCTGACGAAGGTGCTCTGGTGTCAGCCGCGCGGAACTTTGGTTATGTGTTCAAGGTCAGTACAAGCTGTAGCAGACGCAGGGAGATCAGTCGTGTTGGCAGCCATCGTTATCACATTAACACATTCGGTGATAATTGTTTCAATATTGGTTCTCAGATTCTACCAACCCTCGGAATATGTGTGAAATTAAGGAGTGTGTATGAGTATGTGTTCATCCCTAAATATTGTCATGTAATAGGTTAATTGTAATGGTAAGTTGAAGGCCCTTTTATGGGCCAAGATTTCTGCATGGATTAAATATTAATCAACACTTTTAGAAAAGAGTTTGACAGTTTTTAATTAATTATAATTTATGTGTAGATTTGACTAAGAAGTATATATGGGCAGTCTGGGTTTGGCCTGAAGAAGCTAGGCTAACCTATCATGATGCATGTAGCATACAGCAGGTGATAGTTCCTCAGGCTGTGCGACTTCTATGTTTGTAGTCTCGGACACCAAACACCATCACAATAGAAGTCCAGGGAAAGCAGGAAGTGTATGATTTGCTGTGCATTCTGGACTTCAACAATGTCCGCAAGAGGATGTCGGTAAGACAACACTGTACAAGATACATAACTCTGTCAGGGTTTGGAAGTTTCAAATAATTCTACTCAGTGAGAAAATGCCAAGATAATGACATACTGGTTCCAAGAAATCTGTGTAATTCTGTAAGATATTTGTGAGTAAGGTATAACAGCTGCTTTGTCCATGTGATGAGGATGTCTGTTGTCCAGGTGATCGTGAAGAAGGATGGTGTCATCACGCTGTACTGTAAGGGAGCTGACTCTGTCATATTCGAGCGCTTGGACAGATCGTGTGCAGAACTGAAGGAAATTACATCGCACCACCTCAATGTGAGTTCTCTTGTCAAGTAATGTAGTCCTTATGTTTCTATTTAGGTTTAGTATGTTTCACAGCTCGAAGAATGCAAGTGTTCAGTCACAGGAAATGTTAAAGGGCAAGTTTACACGAAAATATACCTTTTGTCGAGTACTTTTTCAACGTAAATAGTATTTTTCTAGTTGTTTAACGTCCAAGACAGTACAGATATCACAAGTAATTAATATATTTTTTGCATCATATTGATTAAAACAAAAGGCCTCATAATGGCATAACATTTCAACACTTTTCTTGAGATTTCTACTTTTAGTGTGAGAAAAATAAGTGTATGTTTTCAAGCACTGATATTAACTAATTCAGAAATTATGTTTTGTTTCACTTAAGTCAAAAAAAAGAAAAATTTTCATAAACACTTCCCTTTAAGCTTTTCTCTTCTCCAAGTGCTGCTGCAGGGATTCCTGGTCATACAATATTCCTTGTACCTTATGTGTATTGTGAGGCCCAGCTAACATTGGCTTTAGGTTGTTACAGGGGATTGGTTGATCAGCCTATGTGACTGGTTATAAGGTGGTTAGCCTGTGTGACTGGGGATAAGGTGGTTAGCCTGTGTGACTGGGGATAAGGTGGTTAGCCTATGTTAAAGGGGATTGGTTGGTGAGCCTATGTGACTGGTTATAAGGTGGTTAGCCTGTGTGACTGGGGATTGGGTGGTTAGCCTGTGTGACTGGGGATAAGGTGGTTAGCCTGTGTGACTGGGGATAAGGTGGTTAGCTTATGTGACTGGTGATAAGGTGGTTAGCCTCCGTTACAGGGTATTGGTTGGTTAGCCTATGTGACTGGGGATAAGGTGGTCAGCCTATGTGACTGGGGATAAGTGGTTGGTCAGCCTATGTGACTGGGGATAAGGTGGTTAGCCTATGTGACTGGGGATAAGGTTGGTAAGGTGGTTAGCCTATGTGACTGGGGATAAGGTGGTTAGCCTATGTGACTGGGGATAAGGTGATTGACTGGGGATTGGTCAGCCTATGTGACTGACTGGGGATAAGGTGGTTAGCCTATGTGACTGGGGATAAGGTGGTTAGCCTATGTGCCTATGTGACTGGGGATAAGGTGGTTAGCCTATGTGACTGGGGATAAGGTGGTTAGCCCTATGTGACTGGGGATAAGGTGGTTAGCCTATGTGACTGGGGATAAGGTGGTTAGCCTATGTGACTGGGGATAAGGTGGTTAGCCCTATGTGACTGGGGATAAGGTGGTTAGCCTATGTGACTGGGGGGGATAAGGTGGTTAGCCTATGTGACTGGGGATAAGGTGGTTAGCCTATGTGACTGGGGATAAGGTGGTTAGCCTATGTGACTGGGGATAAGGTGGTTAGCCTATGTGACTGGGGATAAGGTGGTTAGTCTATGTGACTGGGGATAAGGTGGTTAGCCTATGTGACTGGGGATAAGGTGGTTAGCCTATGTGACTGGGGATAAGGTGGTTAGCCTATGTGACTGGGGATAAGGTGGTTAGCCTATGTGACTGGGGATAAGGTGGTTAGCCTATGTGACTGGGGATAAGGTGGTTAGCCTATGTGACTGGGGATAAGGTGGTTTAGCCCTATGTGACTGGGGATAAGGTGGTGGAGCCTGTGTGACTGGGGATAAGGTGGTTATGTGACTGGGGATAAGGTGGTTAGCCTATGTGACTGGGGATAAGGTGGTTAGCCTATGTGACTGGGGATAAGGTGGTTAGCCTATGTGACTGGGGATAAGGTGGTTAGCCTATGTGACTGGGGATAAGGTGGTCAGCCTATGTGACTGGGGGTGGTTAGCCCTATGTGACTGGGTCAGCCTATGTGACTGGGGATAAGGTGGTTAGCCTATGTGACTGGGGATAAGGTGGTTAGCCTATGTGACTGGGGATAAGGTGGTTAGTCTATGTGACTGGGGATAAGGTGGTCAGCCTATGTGACTGGGGATAAGGGGGATGGTTAGCCTATGTGACTGGGGATAAGGTGGTTAGCCTATGTGACTGGGGATAAGGTGGTTAGCCTATGTGACTGGGGATAAGTTGGTCAGCCTATGTGACTGGGGATAAGGTGGTTAGCCTATGTGACTGGGGATAAGGTGGTTAGCCTATGTGACTGGGGATAAGGTGGTTAGCCTATGTGACTGGGGATAAGGTGGTTAGCCTATGTGACTGGGGATAAAGGTGGTTAGCCCTATGTGACTGGGGATAAAGGTGGTTAGCCTATGTGACTGGGGATAAGGTGGTTTAGCCTATGTGACTGGGGATAAGGTGGTTAGCCTATGTGACTGGGGATAAGGTGGTTAGCCTATGTGACTGGGGATAAGGTGGTTAGCCTATGTGACTGGGGATAAGGTGGTTAGCCTCCTATGTGACTGGGGATAAGGTGGTTAGCCTATGTGACTGGGGATAAGGTGGTTAGCCTATGTGACTGGGGATAAGGTGGTTAGCCTATGTGACTGGGGATAAGGTGGTTAGCCTATGTGACTGGGGATAAGGTGGTTAGCCTATGTGACTGGGGATAAGGTGGTTAGCCTATGTGACTGGGGATAAGGTGGTTAGCCTATGTGACTGGGGATAAGGTGGTTAGCCTATGTGACTGGGGATAAGGTGGTTAGCCTATGTGACTGGGGATAAGGTGGTTAGCCTATGTGACTGGGGATAAGGTGGTTAGCCTATGTGACTGGGGATAAGGTGGTTAGCCTATGTGACTGGGGATAAGGTGGTCAGCCTATAACTGGGGATAAGGATGGTTTAGCCCTATGTGACTGGGGATAAGGTGGTTATATGTGAGGTGGGTTAGCCCTATGTGACTGGGGATAAGGTGGTTAGCCTATGTGACTGGGGATAAGGTGGTGGTTAGCCTATGTGACTGGGGATAAGGTGGTTAGCCCTGTGACTGGGGATAAGGTGGTTAGCCTATGTGACTGGGGATAAGGTGGTTAGCCTGTGTGACTGGGGATAAGGTGGTTAGCCTATGTGACTGGGGATAAGGTGGTTAGCCTATGTGACTGGGGATAAGGTGGTTAGCCTATGTGACTGGGGATAAGGTGGTTAGCCTATGTGACTGGGGATAAGGTGGTTAGCCCTATGTGACTGGGGATAAGGTGGTAAGACTGGGTGATAAGGTGGTTAGCCTATGTGACTGGGGATAAGGTGGTTAGCCTATGTGACTGGGGGGGGGTGGTTATAAGGTGGTTAGCCTATGTGACTGGGGATAAGGTGGTTAGCCTATGTGACTGGGGATAAGGTGGTTAGCCTATGTGACTGGGGATAAGGTAGCCCTATGTGACTGGGGTGACTGGGGATAAGGTGGTTAGCCTATGGACTGGATAAGGTGGTTAGCCTATGTGACTGGGGATAAGGTGGTTACCCTATGTGACTGGGGATAAGGTGGTTAGCCTATGTGACTGGGGATAAGGTGGTTAGCCTATGTGACTGGGGATAAGGTGGTTAGCCTATGTGACTGGGGATAAGGTGGTTACCCTATGTGAATAAGGTGGTTAGTCTGTGACTGGGGATAAGGTGGTTAGCCTATGTAACTGGGGATAAGGTGGTTAGCCTATGTGACTGGGGATAAGGTGGTTAGCCTATGTGACTGGGGATAAGGTGGTTAGTCTATGTGACTGGGGATAAGGTGGTTAGCCTGTGTAGCTATGCTGATATGATGACCATTTTACAGCCACATGTATGATTCCTAATTCATTCCATCATTGGCCATTCCAGAGTTTTAGTATTGTAATGCTGCTTTGAGATAACTGAAACATGTTTTACAGTCTTGCAGTTTGGATGCAAGAAGTTGTTCTTGTTGTCATGCTGAGCTCTTCTTTTCTAGGAGTTTGCTCAGATAGGCTTAAGGTCATTGCTGAAAACTGTTGAGTGGAGGAAAAGATATCTGTGCCTCAAAACCTTAGGTCATTGATGAAAACTCTTTGTGTCTGCATGTTGAGTGGAGGAAAAGATATCATGAAGCCAGGTGAGGCAGTGAGATTCAACCTTAGTCTGTCTGTCTGTCTGTCTGTCTGTCTGTGTTATAGTCTGTATGTATCTGCATCGTGTGTGGATCTCTCTATGTGTCTGCATAAATGCCTGTGGTATATGTGAATGTGTATAAGAGTGTCTGCATACATGCCTGTGGTATATGTGAATGTGTATAAGAGTGTCTCGGTGTCTGTCTCTCAGTCTGTCTGTCTGTGTCTGTCTGTGTCTGTTTCAGGACACACCTGTGAATCAAATTCCCACAAATCTCCCACAAAGTCAACTATTACACACTGATACTTAACAGCTAAACCCATGTTTGATGGGTTGTGGTGAGAGGTGAAGCTTGCCAACAACATTTATCTCAGCCACATTCTTAGTTGATGTAAAAGCATGGGGAGTTAGAACCATTGGGCTGCTAAGATGTCTTTTTGAACAAGGGCCAAATGTTATTTTGAATGATGTCTGTCGTAACTAGTACCAGGTGTAATTTCTCCATGTAGGGTACAGATTGTGTGTTGGTGTAATAATCAGTGGAAATGCTGTACCTCCAAGTTTGATGGACATTCCTTGATGAGAAACCCTCTGGAAACTATACACATCAGTTTTGTCTGAAGTAACACCATCCTCTTTGTTCTTCAGTACAACCTTAGAAAACAGAGATGATAAGATGGATGCAGTATTTGAGGAGATTGAACAGAACCTAATTCTCATCGGTGCCTCGGCCATTGAAGACAAACTGCAGGATGGTGTGCCAGAGACCATAGCCAACCTGGCCCTGGCTGGCATCAAGATCTGGGTCCTCACTGGGGACAAACAGGGTACGTCCTTCTACTTCACAGTTCTTTCAGCAAGGTTGCATAGATGACAACTGACGTATATATGTATCTCAAGATGTTTTTTATGACACTATGGGATCCTCAACAGTGACTGGTCAAATTGTTATGTGCATAATTCATATCCAGTAATTGCAATCAAAGTGCTTCACATATGGTCATTATTATTATTTTGAATATGTGTTATAAAAGCTGCAGCTAAAATAACACAACATAGCATCATATTATTCCTTATGAAGTAACAATTTCAGATGCAAATTTTCCAATCATTGACAAAAATATTTGTACTTTGTTAACAAATCAATCATGGTTTGGGAGAAATCTTGTACCCAGCTGATTGGTATCACCAGCTTAGTTTACAATACAAGTGGTAATATAAACATTGATGCAGTTGGTTATTGCCTGTTTGTTTGCCTGAATATACCTGAAGGGACATAGCCTATTCCTTTCACTGCACATAACACTAAAAAAATCCAAAATGCTGAACTCTGTACAAAGGGCCTGGATGCACACTTATCTCAGGAACATTTGGTACTTACTGAGTAATTAGTTACATTCTATTTAAGAATTGTTCTATGAAACAGTCCTCTGCAGCTGATGTTCTCTGGTGTTTCAGAGACAGCCATCAATATTGGTTACTCTTGCCGCCTGTTGACGGAGGAGATGGAGGAGCCATTCATAATTGATGCCGACTCCTACGAGGAGGTAGAGGCCCAGCTGCGGAAGGCATTGGAGGACATCGATAAGATGAAGTCGGGCAAACCACATGATGGTGTCATCTTTGCCAACGGCCAGGGAGCCGTCTATAATGGAGCCAATGGAAATGTTGCCATCTCTGATGAATATGGGGAATTTGCAGTAGTAATAAATGGTCACAGTCTGGTGAGTGAATGTGTGCATGAAAACTTGTTGAATCTTTGCTATTTCGTTGTCAAGAATTACAGATTGACATTTAGTGTTGCAAACTTCGAATACTACACACTATATATATCTGTATTTAAGCTAAACAAAACAAGTGAAAAGGACCCTTGTTCTTTCAAATTTTTATTCATGACATATAAACTAAAGTTATGTTAAAGAGTCTATTTTTGAGTAGCATATGATCATTACTGCTTGTCCAGATTGTCTGATAGTACTCCATGACCACAGAGGACTTGAAGCAGTTAACCATGATGTGGCTGCAGAATATGTATTGGAAAAAGAAAATGATGTCCTCAATAGCAAAGTCTTTTGAAAGGCTAGTTAATGATGATTACAGAGGCCCAGATAAGCTGCGTATCCGGTTAAAATACGCATAGAATATATCCAATTTTGCATTGAAAAATAATTGTTGCGTACCAATTACGCATTTAAACTGTTAGATACGCAAAGAGTTTAAAACAAATGCGTACGGAATATACTTATAAAAATCGCTTGCGTAATGAAAAAGACATCGATTGCTATCAAGTGGTACTGTTAGTATAGGACAAGTGTTGTATTACTGTCAGTATAGGATGACTGATTTTTTATGAAATCATTTCCCTTATATTTAAGTTGGTTTTGATTAGGTATGACATAAGGCAGAACATACCTGCTTAGTAAACTTACTCAATGACACAATACTTAGGTGTGTAAAATGACTGAAATATGCACATATTTGAAAGCAGTGGGTAACGGAAAATGAAATACCCACTCAACATTCATAATACCCGCTCCAAAACAATACAGTGGGTACAGTACCCACATTAGCTAAATCTGATCTGGAGCTCTGATGATTTTTTGCTAAACTTTGAAACCTGTTAGGATTCTGGGACAGAATCAGCCCACTGTTCACCATGCTTGTCTTTCCAAGAGGAGTAGGATCTTCCTGTAAGGATCGCGGGATGGAATAGATCCCCTGTACTTTGTGAGAGGTGACTAACATGAGGAAGTGGTCACAGGGTAGGACACGGTTGACAGTTCCATGGATCCTTGTCAGCCACTGCTTTGAATCTTCCACCGGGTTACTATTCTTTGTGATCACGCTGGATTATGTCCGACTATGTTAAACAGCATTCACTTGCTCCCTACAAATTGCCTGGGCACACTGACTCTGTGTTCCACTGTGTGTCATGTTTGTGTGTGTCAGGCGTACGCCCTGAAGCCGGAGCTGGAGAGGCTGCTGCTGGACCTGGGGTCGAGCTGCAAGGCTGTCATCTGCTGCAGGGTCACGCCACTTCAGAAAGCCCTGGTGGTCGACCTGGTCAAGAAACACAAGAAATCAGTGACACTGGCAATAGGAGACGGGGCCAATGATGTCAGCATGATCAAGAGTAAGTTGCATGTTGTAACTTAATCAGACTTAACCTGAGAATAGGAGTACAAACACACTCATAAAGCAGTTTAAGATCATACAGTGTGCCTTTTTTCTTTGTTGCCCTACATACATAGAAACCCGTGTTAACCTTAATCTAAATAAAAACACCATTCACTCACTAAGTCAATGAGCAGCCTTCTTAAACCTTACCAATTGGAGATGTAATTCAGTGGGGGATATGCTCAGTGCCTCCAGTCTGTGATTGGCTGCTCTGTTATGTTTAGCACCTTCTCTTAACAGTCTCTGAGTTTGTGTAATATATTGTTCCTGTGTATGGTTTCTCAGTGTGTGTTCTGTCTGTCCACAGTGGCTCATATCGGTGTGGGCATCAGTGGCCAGGAGGGGATGCAGGCTGTCCTGGCCAGTGATTTCTCCATGGCTCAGTTCCGCTACTTGGAAAGGTTGCTTCTTGTCCATGGCCGTTGGTCCTACCTCAGAATGTGCAAATTTCTGCGATATTTCTTTTACAAAAACTTTGCATTCACATTGTGCCATTTCTGGTATGCCTTCTTTTGTGGCTTCTCAGCACAGGTGAGAACTTAACTATTTATTACTAATTTTTACTATTTTACCAAATGCAAATATGCCGTAGGGTATGTCTCATATGGTCAATCTTGATTTGATAAAGCCTCTTTGCCTCATGGAGAGTTGAAACTGAATGGCTGACAGTATGTGTTCATATATTCCATTTCAGACGCTGTATGACCCGTACTTTATATCTCTATACAACTTGTTCTACACATCCCTCCCCATCCTGGTCCTCGGCATCTTCGACCAGGTCAGTCAGACACAAATACACTTGTTCAGTTTATCAACGAGAAATCCCTTAACCTCCTCTCATGCTAACTCTTCTTATACTCCTCTGTGTAAACAATTAAAGCAATATTTTTGTGATGTCTCTGAACGTATTTGTGCTGTATTTACAGGATGTAAATGAGGACTACTCCATCCGTTACCCAAAGCTGTACGCACCGGGGCTGAAAGACGCACTCTTCAACAAGAAAACATTTATGTACAGCACCCTTGAAGGCATCATTACCTCCCTTGTGTTGTTCTTTATACCATACGGTGCCTTCAACTTTGCCATCGGTCCAGACGGCAAGACAGAGGTGGACCAGCAGTCCTTCGGCTGTGTTGTGTCCTCAATACTGGTGGTGGCAGTCAATGTCAGGGTAAGAACACTCACTGGACACACTGGGGGCTCCACTGGCACCAGATATAGCTGTTCATAGTTACATCCCTTCAGCACATCACAAACAGTTGAAACTTTATTCAATCTGTTTGCCCTGACTGTGTTTCTTGGTTTGCCCACACCATGCCTGTGTTGCCCAAGTTGTAAACACCTAGGACCTGCAGCACTTCAGGCTTTACTGCCACACCAAGCTAACACCCCACAGTGTAACTAATATAATACTGTTAGAAGCAGTGGAAGACCATACTGACTTGTTAAGTCACTTACTTCATGTCCTGTTTTCTTGGGTGAAGATCCAGGTTAGAATTGATCTTCAGTAACCCATGCTTGTCGTAAGAGGCGACTAACGGGATTGGGTGGTCAGGCTCTCTGACTTGGTTGACACATGTCATTGGTTGCCAGTTGTGCAAATCGATGCTCATGATGTTGATCTGGTCCAGACTCGATTATTTAGACCGCCACCATATAGCTCGAATATTACTGAGTGTGGCGTAAAAATAAACTCACTCACTCACTCTTGGGCAAAAGGCGATACCAAGCCAGTGAGTTTGGTTTGTATATTTCACTCTTGTACTGAGGTGAGATGCATGAAGGGCTGCTGTTCTATGAGGCCATGTTTTGTTAAATTGCTTCCCTTTGATGTGCCAGGATATATCGGTTGTGGTTTCAATCCTTAATTGGCCAAAGTTGTATCTTTTATTCCCTTATGAGGTGACATGCTGTGAATTTGGATGAAAAATGGCTTTGATAGCAGTGTTTGGACTTTCTTTGCTATACTTTAAGCTGTTTGTATTGTGCTTATACTAGGATATGGAAAAGTGTATGATCTGCCACAATTGTGCTTGAGTTACAGTAAGTTATTCCTTTACATATTTTATATATGCCAAATGAGATGCAAGAATTCACCATTGACCTGGATTCCTTCACCTTGTATAAATGTGAACTCTGACCCCTTTGTTCTGTGTTCCAGTGTGCCCTTGACACTTCCTACTGGACCGGGTTCAACCACTTCGTGGTGTGGGGCAGCATCATCTACTACTTCTGCTTCATCCTCGCCTTCTACTCAGAAGGCATCAACTACTTATACGTGGGTGTGGCCTTTGAGGTGTTTTCCTCCGCCCAGTTCTGGTTCAGCCTCCTTCTTACTTGTACAGTGCTGATAGTGCCTGTGGTGGCATACCGTTTCTACCAGACGAACATTACTCCCTCCCTTGCTGATAAGGTGCGGCTACGACAGCGAATGAAGAAGGTTAAGTCACGATCACGTGACCTTCATGTGAGAAGACAGTCCACTATGCGCCGAAGCACAAGATCACTACGATCAGGCTATGCGTTTGCTCACCAAGAAGGTTTTGGCAATCTTATTACCAGCGGTATAAACATGCGAGACCGTGCTGTAGAACGTAAAAAGGAACCAGTCACGCTAACGAAGATAACTCGCCATGACAGTCACAAGGCAGTTGGAGCATCAGGAAATGGTGTATCAGATAACATTATCTATGTGGAAAGGTTGTGATGTCCTTCATGACAAGAACACTATTTTTAGATGAAATTTGCCTTGATGTATATATTTGATGTGCACTGGTTAACTGACAAATATTGGTTCTTGGAATTGGTACGTCATGTAAGACATGTTGGAATCAGATTTATGCAGAAGTTGTTGTCTCCCTTTGGCAGCCCACTCTGAAAGATGACTTTACCTAGGTATATACAAAAGATAAAATAACAATCTCGATGACATTAATCAATAGATATTTTTTAACTACATTTTACAATAGATGTTATCTATGTATTTTTACAATTCGTGACCACATTGACAGTTCAGCAGTGAATTGGAGGGAGATACCTCATGAGAAATTCAGGGACCAAAACCATACTTCCGTACATGGAGATGATAAATGGAGCCTCCGCCACATGTTGGACACAATACTGACTTGGGCTGGCTATCAGTGCAGATCATAAAGATCGATTATTGTTATTTATAACTAAATATCAATCGATTATCGATAAATATTGGAGAAGTAACTTTGAGCAAAGGAGTCTGAAAGAAATGACTATATTTCATGTCACTAATGATTGGTGCCTTTATATGCATTTATTACTAACACCTCAGCATTCAGAACATAATTTAGAAGCAGCTATGAATAAAGACCTAACATTGTATATTTTGTGAATAAATTGCAAAAAAATATTTCACAAAAGTCAATGTACAATATTATCGGTAACACAATTTTATTGTCAATAATCATTAATCATTTTTCCTATTGACTATATTTCTGATTATTGATCATTTTAGCCAGCCCTAATACTGACTGTGGTTGACGGAAACATTCATGACTTGTCTGCAAGTGAATGAACACACGGTATATTCACCAGCATAATGATATAGTGTACATATACTTGTTACATATGTTAATACAAAGACATGTATTTAATTGTAAATAATAGAATTTTACCAAAACATAATGTTGATCATAATCATTTTTATGTATGATCTGGTTTCAAACCACATGATGTTTTCTCATATACCAAAGTTTGGTATTGCACATGAAATACTTGATGTTATATTTGTTGAAATGGAATATAAGCAAGCGATGGTTGCTTAATGTTAGAGAATTGACTGCACTCTGTCTGTTTTCAAAGATATTGAATCATCATGCTTAAAGGCAGCAGCAATCTGATGCGAGATGTACGTGTTGGTGATTGTTAACCCAGTGGCTGTTGAAATGTTTAAGTCGTGTATTCTAGTTTTAGCTGCGTGCTGTGTGTCTATGTTCTCCTTTAGTTTCTATGGGACATCATGTCCAAACAATTCTCTATGGGACACCATGTCCAAACACTCCTTTAGTTTTTATGGGACGTCATGTCCAAACACTCCTTTAGTTTTTATGGGACGTCATGTCCAAACACTCCTTTAGTTTTTATGGGACGTCATGTCCAAACACTCCTTTAGTTTTTATGGGACGTCATGTCCAAACACTCCATCAGCAAGGCAGATCTATTGTGTATGTGATAATACCAAAATAATGTCCAACTTTTAATGCACAGTATTGTTATATGTTGATGTGTACAGGATGTAGGAACAGTCAGCTTTACACGGTTTGATGGTCCCTCAGCTATGGTGTAAATAGTGCACACTCTGCTGTGTGGCTGTTTCAGTCACAGGTGCTTCAGTCCGAGCTGGAATTCAGGAATTTCAAAAGTAGTGTAAAATATTAATCAGATGGTTTAAGGCATATTTTACAATTACTAAGAAAACAGGTATGAACCTGCAGAAACGCTCCAGGATTTACCTATTAATTTAACTGGTAACTCAGCCTTCTTTAAACAAGATGGCTGGTTAAGATAGTGGCCAGTTTAAATAAAGTCTTCACACTGTTGTAGTGTTGTGTGTGACCTTGAGTCCCTGGCTGAACAAAGGTCAGGTTACATTGTGTACTTACATTTTAACTACGTCAAACTGATGTTCAAGGCTGCCAAACCAAACCAAACTACTGTTGAAAGCTGCATGCGACTCGACTATATTACAAATATGAGTAAAATTGCTCTTTAAAGACTTAATGTCATTTGCAGGAATTTAGGAGCACCTGTTGAATAATATTACTTGGAATTGTCTAAAGGAGAAAGAAAAACACTTAATTGTAATGGTTAATCTGAGTTTTCCTGAACTGAAGTACAGTGTCAGCATTAAGTCATAGTCAGCATAAACTGCAGCTTAGAAGCATTATGCTCAGGACCGATATGTAATAGCTGGTAGAGTATATGAAGCTAATGCTATCAGATGGTCATTAACAATGTTTGAGAAGTATTAAACAGTAATCAGTACACAGGCACTATTGTGCGATTTAGTCGACAGTCTCAACATTTGAACAATGCATCTGATTTTTCAGCAGTCTTTGTTGAACATTTGAACTGTGAAATGTCATAATGTGCACATTATTAATTTGTTAATAGATGGATATATTTTATTTAGGTTTGATCTCTTCAGAATGCAATAATTCTGAATTATTTTTATTTCCTGTATGTTTGAGGGAAAATGACACTTATATTCTTTAGTAAATACATATCACAGAGGCAGTAAAGGCAGTAAAAGAGTTGGTGCCCTTTGCTGTTGCTAAACCTTTGATATTTTTAATTTCCATTTGGGAACAAACCATCTACCTATGATAAAGATTCCTCAAAAGAATATCAACATATCTTGTTTTGTTTTAGTTGTGTGTAAACATTTCCTGTATTTTATATCATTTATGACTTTGTGTATATTGTAGTTTCTAGTTGTTGATGAAGGGCATGGAGGGCTGACACTTGCCCAGCAGTTACACTTATACCACACAACTGTCAGTTCACCTGACCGAGTCAGTCACTTGTATATATACAAGCTTAATATCAGTGTAAGGTGGAGGCTTGTCAGTAATGAAGCCTTTAAATGTTATGTCAAAAAGACTAATAAGAACTTTTAAACAAAATAATTCAAACAATTTTTTAACCTCATGACCCTATAGCTATAGTCTGTTTGCAGTGAAAACGTACCGATGAATATTACTTTACCCCCATGTAATACAAACCAATAATAGCGATTTGAAACTATGATCGTTTGTTAAACAACTTTTATCTTAAGTTGAATAGAATTCTGAGATTTAAATGTTCAGTTGGCAAGGTAAAATTATGAGGATTCGCAATCTTAATTTCACTTTATTCGATTAACTTTTTTGTTTAAAGTGAAATTCATCGGTACGTTTTCACTGCAAACAGACTATAAACAATGTTCATTTCTGCAGTAGGTTTATGTTATGTTTTGTTGCCTACAAGTTGGTGCGAAGATGGGAGGGCAATGAGTGGGTTGGTTCTGGGTAGGTTACTGTCTACACAGGTCATCAGGCCTAACCCAACCCAGCCCTACCTTGGTGGATGTGTCAGTGAATTTGTCTACACTTGATAAGTGCCAAATCATATAACATGAATGTAGAATATTGCCTTGGATTGTGAATTAAACAGAAAACAAAAACATATTATTTTTTTGTGGGGAAGGTATTTCAGTTATTCCATTTTAGAAAATTGGGAAAGCGTCACTCCATGGGATGATAATATTTCCAATTATTTGTTTTTTGGTTTGTGTTATTGTGTAAAGTGAGATGTTACACTGCCAAATTTTTACCATTTTATGTTTTCACTTAGCATGGTACTTTTGTTTATAGAACTGTGCATGGTGGCCATTGCTTTTGTTTTGTGCTAGAAATTTCATGAAAGGGTAAAATTTCAAGTTTGAAATGTTTGAACAAATTTCTTGGGATATCGTTTTCTATTTAATTCACATCCATATATGTATATATATTGTCATGACTTTGAGGGAGAAAGCTACAATGTCAATATTAAATGTGTATATAACACTGTGGGTTGTCATGGAGCTTAATAACACATTGCCAAGTAGATATATGAAGTGTGTATGACACCATTGTATAGTAATACTAGTCACAAGTTACACCAGGCCTTGGCCAGACTCCAGGTGAAAGGTCAGCATATCAGTGTGTATTAGCTGATACTTGATACTTGGTTCATGAGAAATCCTTCAACATTTAGTGCTAATCAGCAAGTTACGTGGTGGCAAAAATCACTCAAAGGGGGGATTCAGGGGGTTCTGGATCCGCCAATGTTATTTAAACATTTTGTATTCCCAACATGTTGTCCATGTCTTGAGAATCGTACGGACATGATGGCATGTGTATTTAGAATAGAACTATGATAAATTTTGAAACACTGTTTCCCTGTTTCCATTACCCCTGTAAAAGTTACCACTCTTGTGTGATGCTGAAGAACAAGAAACCATTCATCCTAACAACAGTTATGCCTATCGGTGTACTTGTCATTACAGAAATAAGTCATGGTACAGACATTTGTACAAGAGGAAGTGTCTTTGAGTTCAGTTAAATGTGGATATATACTGTTATTTGTTGTCCTGTACATAGGTATTGGGAGCACCATCTTTCCAGGAATGTTTCTTGTTGATTTCATGTTTCATATGCAAATTAAATGTACTATTTACACACAGATATCATCTTGATGAAACTATTTTTAAACTATTTTGTCATCCTCAGTGTGATACAAAATGTGTAAATATTTATTAATATGAATTAAGAAATATGTTGCCATTGCTGCACCATTTCCGTGGTGACGATATATAAATATATATCTATATTTTGTTTGTATATTATATACCCTTGTTTCTTTCAGCCAACTCTAAACGTCCTATCCCAACTGAAGCCTGTTCTTGTAAATGCTCTTAAGGGGTATTTTTGCACGAATAACTGTCATAATAATTCTAGTGATTGAATGCAACAGAACCATCTTGTGATGTTGAAATACTAAGTGCAATTTTTTAGATGCAGCTGGAAATTTCTTGGTGTGTATGTTGTGCTGACATGGAAACATTAAGAGTTTTGTAAATAGTATTTCTGACACTTGTCATAATAAAGAGAATGACTTTTGAACACAATGATACATAATAAGACAAGATGTTGTTGTAGATATGTGATGGTCATCTATGTATTGTTGAACTGCTTACAATGGCCTTCTTGGTGTTGCTTGAGAAGAAGTAACAGGAGGGACATGAAGTGCTCCAGAGTAGTGTGAACACAGACATCTGTCTGTCAGTGTTACGTGACAACTGAATTTGCTCCCTGTGTGTTCATAGTATAAATATTCTATATATGAAGTGTGCTTTATTCTATCTTTATAGAGCAATGGGCATTCTTTTGTATTGATTCAGTGAACTTTGCTTGTGAGTTTGACCTTGTGAGTGTCTACCTGACAACTACTTCAATGGCCTCAACACAGCAACACAATACTTTAGCCTAACCACTGACCTTGGGTGAATCTTATCAGCCTTGACCTTTTCTGTAAATCTCATCACTGATCTTTGTCTGCATCATATCATTAGCCTTGACCTTACCCTTAATCTCATCGCTGTCGTTGATTCAAACCCTATCACAAGCTTTGACTCTTTCCCAAAATCTCAACCCTGACCTTGACTTCAGCTGGAACTGACCTTGGTTCTAACTCGTCTATACTAATAGTGAAGGTGAGCTTCAGTGAAGCCAAATCAAGTATCTCACATCTCTGTTCAGCTCATCCATGCATTGAGTGATGATACCTACACGCATGCCATCACCCAAAACCTCTGCTTCATGTGGGATA